AGACCAGAAGATTATCTCCCTCTGAATATGATTTGGAAGACTTCATTCCCTTGGGCTGCTCAGAAAGTGCCAGACCTGACTGAGATTTCAGTCTGGGGTTGTTTTCTTAAAATATACCAGGAAGAAAATGGTGGAACTGCTTTGGGTTTCTCCTTATGTTCTTTAGAAATTGGCTCAGAAATGGAATTGGACAATTCTGGTCTAATGAAAGCTAATTTCTTATTGAAGGCAATGCAGACAGATCTCTTTTATAGGTTCTGTATAACAAAATAACTCACAAACTCATCCTTTCTGTCTTCTTAACAGAAGTCTGAAGCCTAAAGGGTATGGAAATTGCTTAAAATTACAAGCAGCACACTGAAATGGGAGATAGCACTCCCCATTCTTGGGTGCCTCTGTTTACTACCCTATATTGCAGAGCATTGCTAGTGATATCCAGGGTCTCTCCTACCAGTGGGAAAAAAGCGTGTTTTGTTGATGCTTCATTACAATAACTCCTTGTTCCTGCCAAAATGAGTCTTCAACCTAAACACGCCAGGGAAATAGTTTGTTACTGCGGTGGGAAGGATTTTTAAATAAACAAGTCAAAGAAACTGCATGGGATTTGTTGCTCTGCCGTGTCCCAGCAGCGTATCTCTGGTCGATGTTTTATACCTTTGTGGTCTGGGAGTTTGCCATGAGGCCGTTAATAAAGTTGCCCTGCTGTATGCTTCTTCAGTCCCAGCTGATTTCCTCGTGTGTTGCTGCTCAAGAGCCTGGAGAACCATCGCCGTCCTCACCTCCCTGCAGGCTGTGTCCCTTGGAGCAGTGCCACTCTGTGGTCAGGATGAGGATTTGGGGTTTGCTGCCTGCAGTCTCACCCATGGGTGAATTTATTCCCCTGCTTTGCACTGGGTTTGGGTGATGGGACTGGTTTTGTTCCCTCAACTTGGCTCAGCCCAGCCCTCAGCACAACTGGAGCCAGTTGGCACTGACCCCCCTCTGAGCACCGTATGCTGAGCAGAGGGGAGCCAAACTTTGGGAGAAACGCTTTGCTTGCAAGCAGCCAAAGCTCAGCAAAATAAATCTGCACAAGGGCTCACACAGCTCCTTGCTGCTCCTTTTGGGGCAGCACAGGTGAGCAGTGTGTGCAGATGTGGGGTGAGTCCCCAGTGCTGAAGGTGTCATTCCATGGGATGGAAATGGGGCCAGGCTGAAATTCCTGTAGTCAGTGAGAAAAGCTGTTTCCTGCAGCACCACGGTGGCTGAGACCATTAAAGCCTGGGAGATGCTGTGCCCATGGCAAACCCTACCCTGTCATCCCAGCCCCCTGTATGAGTGCAGTGCTCAGGCTGGGTGTGTGATTCTACAGCACACGTGGCATTAATGCAGGGAGGGGAGCTCCCCCTGTGCCCAGCAGAGCCTTGCTATCAGCCTGGCACACCCAGCTCACCTCTTTTATGGCACAACCAAGGGAGTGAAATGCAAAAAGGAATCCCCTGGAGTGAATGGAAACAAAGGGTGCAAAGAAAGGCCTTGCCCAGATGGTTTTTGGGCAGCGGAGGCTGCTGCTTGCTGTCATTTGCAATGGCTCTGTGATGCCCAATTGGGAATGGAAGCTCTGTCTCTGCTGTAGAATTGTGTGCAGCGATGATCTGGGAACCGGGATATGGGAGATGTGGCTGCTGCTCTCCCACATCGCAGAACAATGCTCACTGCTGGGGAGATGGGGATCTGCACCCTTCAGGTGCTTCGTGTCTCTGCGAGGCCACGGGGATGGATGCACCTCATGTTTTTGGCTCATTCCTTGGGTCTGGTCTGGGTCTGGTCGGAATGTAACCTCTATTTATTAAATTAGTGCAAAGCCAGGTGTGTCCTGAGCCTCCTGTTGCATTCAGGAGCTGTAATTCAGGAACAGTTTTGCAGTGGGTGAGGTGTTTGCATTTCCAGAAGGAGACAGGTGTGACCCAGCGCCCACCGCAGCACCGAGAAGGATTTTGTTTTGGCCTCTTGTTTTGCAGCAGTGATTAAGATGAATAATGAGCGCCTGAAATGGGCATCAGTCGAGCTAAGGGTGTTCCTGGGAGCTGAGAGCTGGGAACATGCCTGGTGCAAGTGCTGGAGCAGCCCCAGCAGCTGCTATAGATACTGGAGGAGCTGTGAACTGGGACTCAGAGGACGTGGAGCACTGCAGGCTGTTGAGTTCTGCAAAGAGAGGAGTCAAGGGGAAGATGGAGCCCAACAGGGAGCAAAAGAATTGCAGAGGGAATCCCTCTTTGGATGTGTGAGTCCTCTGATCCAAATAGAGGCACCTCTTTGTTCACCCCCCGGGGAAGGGTGATGCCAAGTTTCCCCTCCCAGCCTGTTTGTCCCTGCCATTGTGATCAGGGCAGGGATACAAGGCAGGATCACATCCATCTCTCTGCACACAGCTGTGTGATTAATTACAGCCTCCCACAGTACAGCTCAAAGCCCTTTGCTGCTCTTAAAATCAGACATCAATGCCTCTGCCCCCATGCCAGCACATTAATGGCTGGACAGGATACTCCATGCAAATGCCTTACACATCTTAAAGACTTCCAGCTGATTTCATGGTCAGTAGGGTTTGCTTTTTTCCCTACCAACTGGAATACAATAAAATCTGGCTGCTTTCTGAACATAAAGCAGCGAAATGGTTTTTTTCCTTCTTCCAGCTTTGCTGGTGTCTGTGCAAGTGTACATCCAGGCTATCTGCTGCAGCTCAGGGCGCTTCAACCTCTTCCTCCTGCTTTCTGTGGGATAAAATACATAACATTTATGTGCATTTATAATATTTAAGTATATTTTATAATGCAATTTATCTGATTCTCTAAGCCAGTTCTCCTTTGAGTGTTTCTGCTGCTCTGCTTGCTCTCAGCCCTTCTGTTTCTCCCCTCCTCTGATGCTCTCTCTCCAGCAGCAGACACCAGGATGTGGCTGTGGATGTGTGTTGCTGTAACAACGGGACTGAGAGCTTTGGAGATGCATGCTGTCCCCAGACAGCAGAGGGTTTTACAAAGGAGGTAAGTTCTGTTATTGTCTATGGGGAAACTGAGGCAGAAGAGCAGTGAGGACTTGGGGGCAACAATGACTGGGAGGAAAGCTTTGGGTGCTGGGGCTTTCTGCAGCTCCCCTGCATTCCAATTGCATTTGTTTTGTGTTTTCCATCAGTTTTTCACCAGCTACAAAGGCCAAAATCCTGCTCTGGGCTTGACTGAGGTTGTCAGCTTGTGTTTGTTATGGGTTGGGCTGGGTCTGAGCTCTACCAGGCACAGAAGAGCGAGGTGGAAGCACATCTCTTGGGAAGATGGGATACACCAGGGGAGCCTAATTGGCTTGATGAGGTTCTAAAGCCAACCTTCCATCTGGTGAAGAGGAAAAGAGGTTCCCCTGGCTCTACTGGGGGAAGAGGATGCTCTGTGCTCTGGTGCTGGAGTGTTTGCAGTATAGTGTGGACTGAGAGCTGGTACCAGAGCACAGAGAGGACAAATTGGCCCCAAACCACCCAGCAGCTCCTGCCATCAGGATGCAAAGAGATCCTGGGCAAGTTGGGGCAGTCAGTGCTGTTCTCAGGGGATTTAGGCATTGATGGTGGTAATGAGAAGTTTCAGTTAGCTTTATGCAAACTGCGAGAGCATCTTTGCTTAGTCAGTGCCCTCTAAATGGTGTTTTGTTTTGGTTTCTTTTTTTTCCTGGGAGGAAAATTATTTGGAGCTCCACCCTGCCTTAATAAAGATGTTTAACCCCATGAGTTGGCTCCTGCCCCGTGCATGCAAGAAGAGAGCTGTGCCTTGGAGAGAGGTTTGGTGCTTTGGAGGGAGGTTTGTAAGCTCCTTGCACGCAGAATGTCGTTAGATTGAGGGATATGGGAGACCACTAATGGGAGGGCTTTGTCAGGGGATGTGGGGCTTGGACCCGCCTGTCAGACCCCTGTGAGTGTTGGCATTCAAGATCCTGGAGCAAAGACAAAACCAACCCTCCTTCTCCCCAAAAAGAAGTCACTGGGTAACTGAATTGCTCTGAAGATTTATTGGAGATGCAAGACTGTAAGTGGGATGAAAGCCATTGACAAGCATTGCGGACAAAATGTGAAGTCATTAGAAATAAATCACCGCATCCTCTCCCCTTCCCAGACCTCAGATAGTATAAATGCATTTACACCAGCAGCTCAGCTTAATAGGTACTGGCGAATTGAAAAGGTGATTGATGTTGATGCCAGGTGTTTAAGGCTGGGTCTGGATCCCTTGAGCACGACAGCAGAGGACTTTTGTGACCTGTGGCCAGGATTATTGATGGATCAGCCCCTGTCACTTTTGACAGTGGGCTTAGGCCCCAAGATCCTTAATTTAAGATGGTATTTACGGCATCAGATGAGCTGGGCCATTACAAACCCTGAAGAAAAAGGGAAAGTCTAGGATTGGTTTCCAAACAGGTAATGCAAACAAAAAGCAAACTGCCTCCAAACAGCAACAGCCATTGAAATCCACTCCTTGGGATGTGAAATTGGTATGTGTAGGGAAACTAGGCAATTTTGGGTGAGTTCTGCTGATGGCAGAGGTGTATCTGTAAATCAGGATGGCTGATATAACTAGGTTATAGCAATAGGTTATGTATGGGAGCTGCTAACACAAGAGGGCTGAATGAAGGCCTAATTAGAAGCTCATGGGTGGCAGCTGTTCTGTCCTACACCTCATCCTGATCCTTCAGTCTGTAGGAACAGAAAGAGAAGGAATTACACCAAGGGCCTCTTATGTGAATTGCATGTAAGAAGGGGATTGTGAAGAAGTTTTGGGGTTTGCTCTTAGAATTCCCTAGCAGAAACAGCAAATCTCTTTGACAGAAATACCCCTCTTTGCCTGTTGTATCCCTTTGCATGGAAAATAGGTGTGCAGTGTAGGGCAGCTGGGTGCATGTGCTCCTGTAGCAGCCAGGCTCTTGCTGTGTGTAGGCAGAAGGGTGTGCATTGTGCTTCGTTTCCAGCCTTGCCATTCATCTGCAGCTCTTTACACAGTTGACTTGCCCACAGACACAACCTTCATGTGGGTGCTCCCACTCCTAATGCGTGAGCTTCCATTGGCCGACCCAGCAAAGCTGGGTTCTGGGCTGTAGGCGAGACGTCCTTGGGAATGGCAGACAGCTGTGGAAGGCAAAGCTGAGTTTCAGCTTAGGGAGTTGCTGGGAGAAAAGGCAGGAGATGACCAAGCTTGGAAGAAGTTTTATGCTCCAACTTACAGATGTTGACAGGGATGCCTCCTTCTGCACAGAGCCTGTAAAGGGAAGGTTGCACTTGGTTATGTGTGTTCACATGCAGAGCCCTGTGAGCCTCAAACGTTTGCAGGCAGCAGGACAGCCTCTGTTTGCACCAGTGGAGGTGTGGTGGGACTGATGGGAAGAGCTGATCTGTGAGGTGGATTTACCACAGGGCAGCTCTGAAAAGCACTGCCCAGTTGGCACATGGATCTGAAGGGTCTTGTGTTGGTATCTGCCACCCACCTGCTCTCCTCACCCTCCAGCAGCTTTCTGTAGGTTGTGATCTCGATGTCCAGGGCCAGCTTGATGTTCATCAGCTCCTGGTACTCGCGCAGCTGCCGGGCCAGGTCCTGCTTCGCCTTCTGCAGAGCCGCCTGCAGCTTGATAAGTTTGCTCTTTGCATCCTTGATGGACGTTTCCTTGTGCTGCTCAGCATCAGCCACGGCCATTTCCAGTTTGCAGCACTACAAAGATGTGGTCAGCCTTAAACGTCTCTTGGTATTTGTAAATGTGACATGTTTGGAACAACAATTCAGCTTTACTCTGCCCTGATGGTTCCAGCAGACCTGGTGGTACTCACCTGCTCCTTGGCACTCCTGACTTCTCCACTCAGTTTCTTGACCACCCGTGTCAGCTCGGCCGCCTCTCTTTTCTTCTCTTGCAGACTATCAGCATTTTTGCCTGCAGTAACTCGCAGCTCCTCAAACTGCAAAAGCCCCAAAGATGTGGGTTGTGTATTCCCAAAAGCACGTGCTTTGAGTTAAATCAGAGCAACTCTGGGTTTTCAGAGGAAAGATGCACCCACACCCTCCTCCTGGCTGCTTTTCTCACCTTGCCTTTACACCAAGCTTCAGTTTCTGCCCTGCTCCTGCAGGCAGTGTCCTCATAGTGAGCCTTGACGTTGGCAACAACGCCATCCAGATCAGGATCCCGGCTGTTGTCCATCTGCACAACCACTGCCGTGTCTGAGATGTGGACTTGCAGCTGGTGGCTCTCCTGGAGGTGACAATGAGATGCTGGCACTGCTGTGGTCCCATCCAACCCCATTCGTACTCTTGCTCCCCGCTTTTCAGTGACCACACAGGTGGATTCTTGCTCCCCATTCACCATAAGGGCTGACCATTGCCCCACATTACCCATTCTTCCCCTGTCCTTCAGGATAGACCTCCCAGATCTGCCTGAGAATCGCAGAGCTGAAGCAACGGGGAGCTGCTTACCTCCTCATAGAGCAACCTGAGGAAGTCAAACTCTCCTTCCATCCTTCCCACCTTGGCCCCCAGCTCTGCTTTGCTTAAGAAAAAGCAGTCCACGTCCTGAAGTGGCAGTGGGGAGAGAAGAAGGAAGCTGATTAGTGGAAGCTGATTAGTGAGAGCCGACTCAGGGCTGCCCTTGGGGTGGGGGACTGGGTGCAGGTAGCGTGGCTGCACGCCAGCTCCCACTTGCACAACTACTGCTGGTCTGAGTTCAAGCACACCTGAGCACCAGCTCCTGCTGCTACTTGTTCTGTGCAATGCTTTGGGGGAAAGAAATCACTGCCTGCATGCACCCCAAAGACCTGGACACAACAAGAGGGTTCAAATGGCCTTTGCTCACCTTCTTCAGGGCAATGAACTCCTTCTCAGTGCAACTCCGTTGGCTGCATTCATCCTCATACCTGCGTGGGAAAATGGGAGACTTCAAGCTCAGCACAATTACATCTTTGTTTGGGATTCTGCAGGCTTACTTCAAGAAATGGAACCCTTCCTATTTTTTTCCCCCCCCTTTTCCCCAGATGATATTTGGGGATGTTTTGTTCTGTTTCACAGCCCATGGGAAAGCACGCTTGCTTTCACAGAGGTTTTGGTGTTCTTACATATTTGCAGCAGAACTGTTGTGATTTGACTTCTGCTCCAGAGAACAGAGGAACACTTGAAATTGCTGCATTAATTCCTCGAGTTAGGAAAGAATGAGAGAATCTAGAAGAGATGTGTCCTCTGTTTGGTCCACTGTAAACTGTGACGTGGTTTTATGATCCTGTTCTCTGGGGACAATTTATTATATCAAAATGTTCTCACTTACATTTTCTTGTTGGTTTCCACAGCCTCTTGGGCTGCTTTCAGGCATGTTTCTAACTGGGCTCTGTTGCACCCCAGCGCTTCCAGCTGCTTCTTCAAGTTCCCGATGCAAGCCTCCAACATGGGCACGATGGTGTTCCTGCAATGTTTCTGATCCTGCAGAAAGTTCCACTTGGTCTCCAGCACCTCGTTCTGCTGCTCCAGTAATCGCACCTGAATCCCAGAGAGCAAAATAGGAAATAAGATGAGGGTTAAGTGGTTGTGAGAGGTGATGTCTACGCAACAGCCCTAAAATGCAGCTCTTGGTGCACCTGAATGCAATGTTTCCTACTCTACTGTTCTTTTGTGCATATGGTTTTTGTGGGTAAGCCTTGTGGAAATCAAACTCATAACACCTCTAGAAAAGAACACCTCGGTGCTCAACTGACATTCTAAAGTTATCCTCAGTGTCTGAAACAGAGCTGTATAACCCAGATTCCTCGCCCTTTCCGTGCTAGACCTCCCTGGGCCTGGAGCTGGGGAGGGTTTCTCTGCTCACCTTCTCAATGAAAGAAGCAAATTTGTTGTTGAGGGTCTTGATCTGCTCCTTTTCTTGGTACTTCACGGTCTGCACGTTGGGATCGAGCTCCAGTTGGAGTGGTTGTAGCAGTTTCTCATTGACAGTGATGGGTACAATGGTGCACAGCCCGGAGGATCCACCAACCCTGTAACCAAAACCAGCACCTCTGCAGCCAAATCCAGCTCCAGCAGCACCAAAACCATATCCACATCTTGTAGGAGGACACCTTCCTACAGCTATTCTGGGCCTGGAAGATGCTACACCGCTGAGGCTCCTGGTGCTGAAGGAACCCAACCCACGTTGGCGACACAAGACTCTACCAAAGCTTTGCCCATTCCTGGGAAGAGCAAGAGAGGATGAGCTGAAATTGCCAATGCGAGCAACGTTGGTGCCATAGGAGCAGGACATGGCTGCTGGTGAGGAGGGCTGGGTGCAGGTGGTGTGCTGGGCCCCAGTGCAGTTCCCTCTGCCTCCAGTGCAGAACCTTCTTCCTTTTATTTGTGGAAAACGGGGCGAGGCTGCATGAAACTTCCACAAGATGTTTACGATGCAGAGTAGGAGCTGCTTAGCATACATTGTGCTCACCAATGGAGAAAGCAGATTTGCCCCATAACGCAATGGAGGACCGCTGTTAAGTCAGTGGGGTCATATTGAAGTCTTGTGTAATCACAGTGAAAATCATGGCTTGTGCTGGTGCTCCTTGTTTTCAGGAATGTAAAAGATTTTGCTTTGTTATGGGTTGGATAAAGATGTCGAGTTCTCACTCATCAAAGTGCTTCCCTTGCTTTACATTTTGCTGCTACATCAGCTTGTGAGTAAGCGCTCTGAGGGAGAATGTGGCTGGATATTAGGAATTATTTCTTCTCTGGAAGAGCGGTGATGCATTGGTGCAGGCTGCCCAGGGTGGTGGTGGGGTCAGCATCCCTGGAGGGGTTCAAGAACCATGGAAATGTGGCACTTGGGGACATGGTCAGTGGGCATGGTGGTGTGGGTTGGGGTTGGGCTGGGAGGTCTTGGAGGTCTTTTCCAACCTGAATGAGTCCACGACACAACCAGATGTTCAATAAATAGCATCAGTACTAAAGGTGAATTCATTGAGAGCTAGCAAATGAAGCCTTGTGTGCAGGTTAGCAATAGATGACAGCTTCGTGTTGGCTTTGACTATGGAAAGGCAACATCCTTGAAGGCAAACGTCCTGGGACCAGGGACCAGGTCTATTTGTCAAGGGTTTTTGTCTGTATATTACTGGTGAGAGTGTTTTCCATCGTAACATTTTATGGGGTATCAGTTGAAACAGAGATGTGCATTTGGAACGTGGTGCCTCTTGTGGGTGTTCCAAATTGGCCAAATTCTCAGAAAAAAATGCTGTCTCCTTGTCCCTCAGCTCTAAGGCTCCTTCATTGCCTGGGGCTGACTCCTTTGCCTCCCACGTTGGGTGAGTGCCCTCACTGAGGCATCGGGGCTCCATTCCTTCCACCTTTGATATTCACATGTGTGTGTCCACGGCTTGGAGAGATGGGAACGGCATTGGAGCCCGCGTCGCTGTGTGGGAGGGCAGCATGCTTTCTAGGGGCAGGGTGGAAGTTCCAAGCTAATGGTTGGGTTTTGTTTACTGCATTTTTCCCCTTCCTTGTTCAGTGGTTGATTGCAAGCCCAAATTAGTAGCCTCACTGGACTCCTCGGCTCCAGGGCCCTCAAAGACTTTCCAGGGATGGTGCATGAGAGGATGGAGCAAATTTGGTGATTCCACAGTGTCCTTCATCCTCCTGTGCCAGGTCACCTTGTTCCAGTTTGGGCTCTGGCTGCATTTCATGGCTCAGTGAGTGCATCTCCTCCTTCCACATCCTCTAAATGCCGTTTTTTCCTTCATTTTGCAAAACACTTTCTCATGTTATTGAGGCAAGTAACACTGAGTGCGACTGTACAGCACTTTTGGACAGAAATTTGAGGGGAAGGGTTGTAAGGGGTGGGTGGCCATGCAGTGTTCCTATCCCAAAAGGAGAGGGGTCCCTGAATGAATCTTCACATCCTCTGGTTGATTGGGGCAAAGCAGCAGAGCATGATGTTGGACTCCAAGAAAACCCACCAAGATGTTTTGAGCTAGCTCAGTTAAACCAAATAGTGCCAATTGTCTTGAGCAGAATTGGAGTAGTATGCTTGGGTGAGTGGTGAAAATGGAAGAAGTGTGTGTGGGATGAGACATGCAGTGATCCCCCCCCCTTTTTTTTTTTTTTTTTTTTTTTTGAGTATTTTGATCTGCAGGAGGCTGTAGAGGATGCACCTTGGATATTGGAGCTCTTTCCTACTCACAGCACCGTGCAGTGGTACAAGCAGCATCTGGAGTGATGGTGCTCTTGTCCCCGGTGCCTCCTGTGGTTACACTTACAGAGGTGGTGGCTGTAAAAGGAGCTGATGGGCTTGGGTGCATTGCTGATTCCCCCATGTAAACCTCCTGCAGGCTGGACCAGCATCCACAGAGCGTTTTGCTCTCTACTTTGGATTATCGGCAAGTGCAAGAGTCGAGCAGCTGATGTGTGTTTCATCAGCCCGTGGATGTCCCTGTTCATTGCAGGGGAGTTGGGCTGGATGGCCTTTAAAGGTCCCTTCCAGCTCAAATGGTTCTGTGATTCTATGATCAAAACGACCTTAATTGCTCCCTTTCTCTCGTGGAGGAGTTGGAAATCCACAGCCTGGGAATTACCACTGGCACATTACTGAATTTGAGTCATCCTTCCCTGGGCTTTGGTGTTTTCATGTTCTCCAGTTGCCTCTGAATCACCCAATTCAGCTCCGTAATTTTGGGTTTTTGTGTTACGCAAGCTATGTTTGCCAGCAGCTTCTCTCAGTTCCTCATACTCTGGAGAGAGAAAACGCAAGGAAAATAAATACCAGATGTCAGTGATGAGAACTGCTGTGGGGTGCTGGGGTAGCAGCCCCCAGTCTCAAGCTATAAGGCTGAGATCTTCAACACTGGTGTCACAGCTGACTCATTTACACCATAGCAGCTATGTGTTAGCAGAGAATGTCCCAAACAACACATGGCTGGGACAAGAGACCTTTAAAGAGCATCTTCAGCCCAACTTGGGAGATCGGAAGAAGCAAAAGTAGGGCATAAATCCTTCTGTGAATGTCCCTTGTTGTTGTAAGACTCTGTCAGCCCAGCTTCTTTTAGCAGTGTCCAGAAGCTTTGGACATCGAAAAGCTTTGGATGACAGCAGTGCTGCCACCCATCTTCAGGCTTTGTCTTCACATATTATTTGAAAATTCCTACAGATTTGCCCACAGTGGGTGCCTGGATCTGAGTGATTCCCTGGGAACAGCAGCAAGGTGAGCAATTGTCCATTTCTATTGCAGAAACAGATTCCTTAGGATCTTGCCCATGCAATGCAGCAGTAGTGCCTTTGAAATGTGGAGGACTGGTCTGATGTATGCATGGAACACAAAAAGTCTTCCTGACCTTAAGTGATGGGCTGTAAGAGCTGAACTCTGTGGGCCTCCCCAAGAGGAGGAAGTTGGAGGAAGAGTAAAAGAAGTCATTATTCTGCTTATGGGCTCCTCTGGAGGCTGACTATGGGTGAGGGACTCCACCTCAGCTTCCAGCTCGGCTTTGCTCATGGAGACACTATCCATGTCCCCAAGCACATCAGAAGGGTTTATGCAATGAAGGAGCATTCTGCTTAATGCCACATGCAATGGGATTACAGCTCCCAGCGCTGCTCCTTTCAAGGACATGAGTTTTACTGTGTTATTAAATGGATTTCCTCTCTCATCCTCTTAGGCATGAGAGGAACACTGCTGGGCAGAGCAGAGAAGGGTTTGACCAACTGAGGTACACAAATGTCCCAAAGGGCCACGTTGAGCTGCAAACAACTGACCGAAGGTGGGATGCAACTCTTTTAATTAAATCTTCCCTAAAGTTGGCCTGCAGGTCCCTCTAGAGTATCAAAAGAGCGAGATGCATTCTCACTGCTGTCTCTCCAGCAATTTTCACTGCTGTTCCTATCAAACACCAAAGAAGCGTTTGAGTAGGTCTGAAATGCCCTCAGCTCTTGGAGCAGAACAAACTCCTTTCCTACACACCTTTCCTCTCCTTGCCTGTGAGGAGAAGAGAAAACATAATTTTGCTCCTCTTTATTCAACCTAGGCAAGAATTTGATCTCTTCCTCTTGCCTCATCTCCAAATGCCCAACCCCAGCATGGACACAGCTGCCAACACAAATCATACAGATGGACATCACTGGTGGCGTTGCATCTTGTGCAACTCTGCTGACTTAAAATGAACCAGATCCATTCCAGCTCGAGCTTTGGAGCTTTTGTTTTCAAATGAACTTCCTTTTTCTTGTATTTATCAGTCTTTCGCGATACCTTGCATATTGCTCAGTTCTGTTGCCAGCTTGGCTCTTTCCTTTCCCAGAACATCCTGCTGCCTCTCCCAGTTGGCAATAGAAGTTCCCAATGTTAGCTCAGCATTGCTGTTGTAACACTTCTGCTCCCACAGAAATCCCCATATGGTCTCCAGCCCCTTGTTGCACTGCTCCAGCAGTGGGACCTGAAATTCAAAGTGTAAAGATTTGTTACCAGTGATACAGAAGGGGACAGTTACAGTCCCAGAAGTGGCAAACTGAGAGATGAAATCAGTATTGTTCAGGATAGTAGTGGGTGAATGCAGAAAGCAGACAGCCGAAATCTGTCAAGTGACATCTCGTGAGAAGGCTGTTCTGAAAAATGTCTCTGCTGTTATATGAAAAGCCCTAAGTCACTCATAACTGAGATGGGATAAAGCAGGGGTAATTCTGCTTCAGGTTAGGATTCAAAGGATGTAAAAAAAATGAGGCTTAAAGAACCAACTTGTCTGCAGGTAGCAAAACTGGTTCCATCTCCATCCTGAGCTTCTTGGGGCTTGATGGGGAGCTTGAGCTTGATGGGGATCTGGGCAATGGATGTGCAGACCCCCTGGGGTCCATTGACCCCATAACCAAAGCCAGTGCCTCCATAGCCGAACCCTGTGCCAGAGGAGCCGTGGCCATATCTCTGCATTGCCACCCAGGCTCATGCTGCTGACACACCTCAGTCCTGGGCACCCTCTGCCACTAGCTCCATGGCACAAGAATCAGTGGAGGATCTCCTCCTGCTCCTGAGGATCCCAGCAGAGCAGAAGCTGAAACTCCTCCTGCTTTAGGTGGGGTTGGCAAAGCCATCGTGGCTGCCTTGAAGGGGAGCGAAGGTGGAGGGAGGAGTAGGCAATGCATGAATGATGGCCTTGCTGGAAACTCTGGAATGAGGAGCAGAGCTTTCACCCTCTTTTCTCCCCCCAAAATGGGCTTTTGCTGCACAACCATCCCCAAATGGTCATTTTAAACCACATTCATGAGCTTGGGGTATCTGGTAATATCCCACTCTTCTCCTTTGCTGAAGAGCAACTTGAGCTGCCTTTAAGCACATATCTGTCACTGGGTTCTGGGCTGTGTTTCTAATTTGAATGGGAGGGAATCCTTGGCCCCATAACAATTGCATTTGCAAACCTCCCTTTTTTATAGTGACCATGAAAGAGAGAAGCAGAACCAATCATTTGATGTTTGCAGGACACCGGGCTGTAGAAAGAAGCGTTGTTTAATGTGTACAAATAGAAGAATCCAAACTGAACTCTTTTTTGCCTCTCTCCCTCTTCCATACAAAGGCTGGGGGGAGCTAAGGACAATGGCACTGAACCAGGGTTGATTTCCTTGTGTTTTTAACCCTGCTGATGTTACTGCCTCCAATTTGACTGGTGGGGTTGGGCTTACAGCCAGGATTCACCCTCATTCATCTTCCTGCAAACGGAGGATTTGGGGCTTCCTGCTGAAGCTAAAGGAGAAAGAGATGAATCCTGTGCGAAAATGTCTTCAGCTGTCCTGCTGCTGAAGGTGACAGAGGTGTCAGACCATGATCTCCCTCCCCAGAAGGGCAGAGCAGAGGGTGCTGAGTTGCTCCTTACTCTCCTCTCTTGTTTTTCTGGTTCCACACCAACTATTTAAGCTCCTTACTTACTAAAATCCATTACGCAGTACATCCCCCGGGGGTATGGTAGCAGACTCTGAGGCTTGACAGAAGTTTTTCCAAAGTGCATGGAGTGGATGAGAAGGAGCAGCTCCTCCTAAAGAGTTAATGAGCTGAGCTGAAACCTTCAGAGACTTTCCATGGGGTGGAAATTACCTCCTGGCTTCCAGCAGTGCTGGAACCCAACCATCAGGAGTGAGGGGTGCTATTATTTTAGAGAGAGAAAGGAGCACTTAAGATCGCTCTTAAAATTAATCCTTGTTTTTTTGGCAAATTTTCTCTCCTGGAGAGGAACCCACATCAGTAAGAAGTGTTCAGTGTGCTCCTAGCTTAAAAAAAAAAGCAGTAGAAATAATAATAATAATAATAAAAAGGCAGATGTCATACAGAGTGCTGCTATTTATACAGCAGCTGAAGAATGCAGGGCCAGGTTAGTCCTTGCTGAGGTCTCACAGTTCTGGGTTGCCTTGCATATTAAACTCTTCTAGAAAGAAGACAGAATGGAGAAAATAGTGGATGGGGTTCTTTCCTTCTGTTGTGTGTTGTTGTTTACATGATCTTGACGTGTTTGCCTTGTGCATGGTCTGCACTATCCCATGTGGCCTTCAGCATCAGTGATGGCTCATTGGTAGAGAAGTTTGGATAGGAGGAGCAGTGTTCAGTTGCGAAGAAATCTGGAGAAATAGTGTGTTCCTTACCCAGCCCTACTTACTAAGCTCCTGACCTCTTTATCAGGGATTCGGAAGTGAGTGTCTGACGTGGAGAGCAGTCCTGATCCCCCTCTACAGATAATGACAACTATGCCAGGATGGATGAATGAAATGAGCCTCACCTTGCTAATGAAGGAGGCAAATCTGCTGGTGAGGGCTTTGATCTGATCCTTCTTCTCCCAGTGCACTCACTGCACTGGGGCTGATCTGCAAGTTAATACTGACCAGGAGGTTTGGGTTGACCACAATCCCTTGAATACCTGCGGGGCCACATCTTCCAAACCCAAACCCTCCATCGCTCACACTATGGTTGCATCCTGACCTGGCAGAGCAGTGCCCTCTGCTCCTGGAAATCCTCTTGCTTGCTTCCCCTTGGTCTAGGCAGGCTCCTGCTGCCAAATCCACTGCAGATCCATCCCACACTTCCCCCATTGCTGTGGGACACGGAGATGGAGCTGAAGATGCTTTGAGCAATGGGCACAGTGTGGAAATGACATCAAATCTCTCAGTGGTCCTGACCTTGGCTGGCTGACTTCAGTGTGGCTGCAGAGGGATGAGATGGCAGAGGGACAAAGATCTCCAGGTTTGGCTCTGGAATGATCCCTGCCTTAAATCCTTCTGTGTTCTGGGCTTGTGCAAAGGGCTGGGTGGTGAAATCATGGAATCATTAAGACTGGAAAAGACCACTAAGATCATCAAGTCCAACCATCAAGCCATCAGCACTGTGCCCACTGACCCATGTAGCTCAGTGCCACTCGAAGTGTATCAGCTCTCCGCGCTGCACCTGGCCGCATTTCCAGCTCATTAATCACCCAACTCTCTGGTGTACCATGTTGGCAACCTCCAGGCTCATAAAATTACCCAAATTTTCCAGCCTGTATTTTTCAGGGTGCTGATGTCTGCTGGGAAAATATGTATCTGTATCTCTGATTGTTCCCTTTAGGCTTGCTTTTAGCTTGGTGTCACTGCCTGTTTGGTTCAAAGCAGATGGAACTGAAGCTGCCACTAGGGGAGTGGTGAAAATGTTGAAAACACCAATTTGATGGCTTTGCTAAGGGAAACCTGGCTTTGCTCCCAGGAGTAACATGTGGTCGAGGCAAGGGGCAGCTGGAGGTGATGGTTTGATCCTCTACTTTGCAAACATGACTTCTTGTGATGAAGGGGATAATTCGGGAGGCACTTCTGCCCTTCTGCTTGCTATAGGAGAAGCCTGGGTGCTTTGCTTGCTGGATGCTGAGGTATCTACATTTAAAAAACGTGCTGACTGTAGAAATGCAGCTATCAGGTGCCTTTTTGCTGCTGGATAGCGTTTGCATGGCCTCCAGCAAGCCGAATTCTGTTCTGTGAGTGTTAGTGAAATCATGTCCAGAGAAGACGGAATGGCGGGCGTTAGAGAACGGGCCATTTCCTTGTGGTAGAGCACTGTTGTGCTCACATCTGGAGGATTAATGAGAAACTGGGTTTTCTATCACTTTCTCTTGGCCAGGAGTTGATCATTGAGTCACGTTTGCCTCCAGCACTTTGCTTACCCAGCGTAGCTGGGTCACACTGGACATGGCTCTTCCCTAAAAGGTTGTCTGGGGCTTTTGAGTTTTTGCAGTTTCTGATTATGGTGGTACCAATGACAGCATTTTATTAATCCCTGCAGCTATTGCGTGTACAGAACACACGGGTTGAACTTCTTGGGAAAACTGAATTATGTCCCTGCATGAGTCATCACATAAAAACCTGAAAAATTACAGGGTTTTGGGGGTGATCAAGCTGGCATGACACTGGTGAGATGTCACAACAGAAATTAGGATAGAGGGATGACATAAATTAGGATAGAGGAATGTTTTCTCTGGTGTATGGAGGCAAGAGCTAGAAATTTCCCTTTCCCTTGGAGGCTGATGCCAAAAAATCTTGCTACACAAATGGGAATGGGGCATCCCCAGTCCTTGTTCCCTGCTGAATATAAGTGACTGCCATGGAAGGAGAGATCACCACTGTTATGTGTGTGACTTGTGTTCACCTTCTGCTAAAGAGATGATAGTGCCACCATGGCTGTGTAAAGTCATTGAAATTACAAGGAGAATGCAACGGAATGAATTTCATATGCCTTTTATTAGACAAACACTGGGAGGTGAGGCTTTTGGAGCATGTAAGAACAAACAGGAGCAAGGCATTTGCATAAATAAGGGCAGACAACTTGGAATTCCAAACCTTTTGCAAGTAATGGGGTGAGGACTGCACACAACATGAGGGACAGAGTGGCACGCGGCTGCTGGACTTCAGTAGCATCTCTTGGTCGAAGAGCTGCTGATGTACTGCATGCTGGAGCTGCTTCCACCGACCACACATGACCCAGCTGTGCCTTGTCCACTCCCAGAGCTGAAGCTCATTCCTCCAGCACAGAGCCCAGCTCCAGCCCCACTGCTGCCTCTGAAGCTCTGGCAGCTCCCACTTCCATATCCCGACCCTACAGTAGTTCTGGTCACAGCTGCAAAAAAAGAACACACTCGTCAGAGGCACCCGCAAACAGTTGGACAGAGCAGCTGGCAGACAGATGGAAAAGTCACAAAACTGCCTTTGGAAAGGACTTACAGATATTCACTGCACCAGCACCTTCTCCAGAGAGCCTGGAATTGAGCAAAAGAAGACATTTAAAGCATTTAAGGGGAGACCATGAACAAGATGTGCTTGAAAAGCTAACAGAACATATGTAAAATATTGCTGGGGGAAGATGCAGATCTTGCAACTGCACAGCTTGATTTCACCCACCTGCACTCCTCGCCCTCCAGCAGCTTCCTGTAGGTTGCAATCTCAATGTCCAGGGCCAGCTTGACGTTCATCAGCTCCTGGTACTCGCGCAGCTGCCGGGCCAGGTCTGCCTTTGCTTGCTGCAGGGCTGCCTCCAGCTCAGCCAATTTGTCCCTGGCATCCTTCAGGGCCAGCTCCCCACGCTGCTCAGCATCTGCGATGGCTGTCTGCAAGCTGGCACACTGGGAAGGAAAAACAGTGGCTGAATTCCCCATCTGGAGCATAGAGCAGTCTGTTTCACCCTACAGTCAGGATGCATAGCCATAGGTGCAGAAAGCTTTGAATTAATTAATTCTCAATCCAGCACAACACTGAGGTGCATTTATAGTTATTTGCTGGACTTGATTGAGTCTTTGCATTAGAACTGTACCTGTTTCTTCACGCTGTCAATCTCAGCCCGCAGCCGCTGGACGTGGCGGTTGAGCTCAGAGATCTCCTGCTTGGTGCTGCGGAGGTCGTCCCCGTGCCTGCCTGCGGTAGCCTGCAGCTCTTCATACTGCCAGGGAGAGGAGCAGAGGTCAGGGCAGAATCCAGCATTGTAGAGGTTAAAGCAGCATGTGAGTATCATATCATAGAATCATGGGATATTTGGGTTGGAAGGGTCCTTCAAGGTCATGGAACCATGGGATGTTTGGGTTGGAAGGGACCTTCAAGATCATGGAACCATAGGATGATTGGATTGGACAGCATGGTCCTAAAAGATCATAGAACCATAAGACATTTGGGTTGGAAGAGTCCATCAAGGTCATCAAACCATAGGATGGTTGAGTTGGAGGGGTCCTAAAAGATCACAGAACCATTGAAGGGTTGGAAGACCCCTTGAAGATCATGTAGAGCCATGTAATCATAGCATGGCTTGGGTTGGACCCCATGGCTCTAAGGACCCCCCCAAACCCCACCCCTGCCCTGGGCTGCTCCCTCCCCTCCATCAGACCAGGGCCCCATCCATGGACTTGAGCACCTCCAATCATGGGGCACCCACACGTCTCAGGGCATCAGTGCTAGGGTCTCACCATCTTTTGAGTAAAGAATTTCCTTCCCACTTTCCCCCTTTTATCTTAAACCTCACTTTCCCCCTTTTATCTTAAATCCAATTTCCCTTGTCCTGTCACTATCAGATAAAGTAGTATTTCAGCTCGGAGGTGTGTGTCTCTTTTCAATCCCAAACCAGCACTTAGAGCTTTATGGGTTTGTTAAATCTAAAGGCATCCTCTGCTGTAAAAGTCCCAGTAGAACCTACTGTTGGAGAGCTGGGGGAGGCAGCATGGTTTACCCTTTGCAGAACCCATCCTGGGCACTCACCCTGGACTGGTACCAGGACTCAGCCTCCTCCCGGCTGCGCTTGGCGATGTCCTCATACTGCGCCTTCACCTCAGCAATGATGCTGTCCATGTCCAGCCTGCGGTTGTTGTCCATGGTCAGGATGACTGAGGTGTCGGAGATCTGGCTCTGCAGCTGAGACAGCTCCTGCCAAAGCAGTGGGGGTTGTGTGAGTCACTACAGGGCACATCTCTTGTTCCAAGCCCCAGTGAAGGTCAGAGCTGTGTTTACAAAGTGATTTTTTTTCCATGAATCTTCTAGGAAGGGCTACTACAGCAGGCGAGATGGAATAAGTGTGGAGGTATGTAGTACAATAGAGTGGAAAATAATCCATCCCGAGCTACAGAGGTGGGAAAAGGAAGCAAAGGTGTTCGAAAATGGGCAGGACATGAAGGTCCTGGGAAGGTGCTTACAGCTTCATAGAGGGCTCTGAGGAAGTCTATCTCCTCCAAGAGGGCATCTCGCCTGGCTTGCAGCTCTGTCTTGGTCATATAGGTAGAATCCACCTCCTAGGGGAAGAAGCACAGCACAGGAATGGAGCTGTTTCCAGAGGAGAAGCTGCAGTGTTTCTTGCAGCAGCTGAGCAGCAGCGGGAGGTGCAGCATGCATGCACCCACCTTCTTCAGAATCACAAACTCATTCTCGGCAGCTGTGCGCTTGTTGATCTCCTCTTCATATCTGTGGGATGGACATGGAGGGTTGCTATGGGCTTATGCAGAAGTTTTGTGTTTGTAGGACCTGGCTCAATTTTCTTTAGAGGAACAGCTTGGTACTTTGGTCTCCTAGCCCTATAGCTTTCTGCCTCTGAGTTTCTGCCATGGGGCTGTATGCGTCACGTATGCAAACTTAACCCTGGGCATTTATATCAGAAAAATAAGAATAATTTTAAAAGGCCTTTCTTCCTTGTTGGACTTCCTTGTTTGTGCAATGGAGCCCTGCCCAGCCTACTCACCAAGCAGACCCCAAACAAAGACTTACTTGCTCTTGAAGTCCTCAGCCAGACTCTGCACCTTGCTCAGCTCCCCACCCAGGTTCTCCTTGTCAGCCAGCAAGTTGCTCAGCTGCCTCCTGAGGTTGTTGATGTAAGCCTCAAAGAGGGGCTCAACGTTGTTTCTGACTGTTTTGTGCCCCTGTTCTTGAAGAAGGGCCCACTTGGTCTCCAGGACTTTGTTTTCTTGCTCAAGGAACCGGACCTGGAATGAGAAAGCAGCTACTTCAGAAGTAGCTTGACTTTAGGATGGTTTTCCCTATCTCTGCTTCCCTACATCCCAAAGCACCATTTCCCCTCTACTGCTCTCATTATGTGGGATGAAAGAATGGTCTCAAACCAAACAATCCTCGGGTTTTATTCCCTGGCTGCTGCTGATAGAAATGGCTTTGCATCAAAAGCAGCACGGCTAATACAACTTGCCCTTCTTTGTGCTTCTCCACTAAAAAATCAGCATGGCACAGCCCAGAAATCTCATGACTCACCTTGTCGATGAAGGAGGCAAATTTGTTGTTGAGGGTTTGGATCTGTTCCTTCTCTTCCTTACGGATGCTCTGGATGCTGGGGTCGATCGCCAGGTTGAGGGGCTTCAGAAGGCTCTGGTTGATGGAGACCTCCTGGATGCCTCCAGTGGGGACAGCAAGGAATCCAGGGCCACCCATGCCCCCACCAAACCCAAAAGCACCACCAAACCCACAGGAGATCCCAGTGCCAGCACCAAACCCTGCAGGTCCATAGAATCCACTGCCCCTTCCAGCCATAGAGATCCTCTTGCATCCACCAACACTGTAGAGGCTTCTGCTCCCAAAACCTCCTCCAAATCCTCCATACCCCACAGCAGTGCCGCAGCTTCCACCTTGAGCCATGGAGCGCGAGACAAACCCGGTGCTACAGGCACTTGGGATGAAGGCAGACGCAGCACTGAAGCCAGTCCGGCCCTGGTTCCTCACGGTGCACTGACGAGACATCGCAGCCAACGGGAGAGATTGGAGGAGCAAAGCAGCGAGGATGAGGAGGAGTGCAGCAAGATGAGGTTGTGCTCCCTGGCCTGGGGTTGGCCCTTTTATCCCCTTACGAGCTGGGGGTGGGTTTGGTGTGCTGCTCAGCAGACTGATTAACCAGGCTCGGCACGCCTCGCCGCGATGCCAATCACCCGCAAAGTTGCAGCTGTTGCATTTTTTGGGACAGTCATGGTCTGGCTGTTGAAATATCTGTAAAAACACCAAAGGCTGCTCACAGCCACCCCTTCCCCACTCCTTTCTGCAGCGCATTGTCCGCGTTGGGCAAGCGCTCGCTCATCTCTATTTCATGGGTGAATCAGTCCCTCCCTTGCGTCAAAGCGCATTTTTTCACTTTGCACCTCTCTGCGAAGGGTGGGAAATCTCTGATTGTGGATCTGTGTTTTCCTGCTGCTGAGATTCTGAGTAAAGCCATCAGCATCAGCACCTCGGGTCTCAACTTGTTGGGTATTCTGGGCTTTTCTTCTCATGCCTGAATGTGGCATTTAACTTGAGATGATGGGAGAAAGGAAGAAAGAGGTGGTGGACAAAGCCAATGTGTCAGTGGGCACTGATGGAAATCTTGGACCATCAGCTTTGGAAAACCATGTGGAGAATGGCAGGACATGCAAGTTTCTTAGTGAACAAAACCTTCAAACCTTTTCTTTCTGTGAAATGAATTTGCAAATCATGCTGATTCAGACTGACAACAAATGATGAAATATTACGGCATGAGCTGGGAGGGAGCTCCTGCCGGCAGTGACGGCACAGCCTGAGCTGGTGATTCTGCACAGCTTCACCTCACAGATGTTGAGCCTAACTGATGAGCAACCGTGCCCTTACCCAGCCTGTTCCCAGGCTCTCCTCCCCACATCTCTTCTCTTCCCCTTTCGATAACTCTTAGTCACCAGGAACTTCAGTGCCGGGGATCTGCTTTTGTGGCATTGTTCTCAGCCAACTCCCTCCACTCCAATTTGTCAGAGTTCCCAGGAAATGCCAATAATGCACTTTTTAAACGATCCACGCTGTCCTCTGTGCCCTGCACTGTGGCACTGTGTGCGTGGAAACCTGTCCCGGAGGTGCTCCAAGGCCACTCCTGGTGTCTGCTCTTTGTGCCCAGCAATTTCCAGGGCCAGAAATAAGTCAAGTGCTTTTGGCCAGAATGTCCCCGGGGATGATTTGCAGATGCTCATCATCTCTGTTTTTCAGCCATACTCTTCCCTTCTTTTCTTCTCCCATTTCCCCTTTTTCTCCCCTTTCTTCTTATTTTTTTCCCCTTTTCCTCTTATTTTTCCCTATTCTCTCTTTTTCTATCACTTCCCCTTCTTTTTTCTTCCTTTTCCCTTTCTTCTTCCCTCTTCTCTCCTTCTTTCTCCCTTCCTTTCCTCTTCTTTTTTCCTCTTTTTTCCTCTCCTTTCTCTCCTTTTCCTCTTCTTTTCACCCTTTTCACCCTTCTTTCCCACCTTTTCCTCTTCTTTTTCCTCCTGTTTATCTCCTCTCTCTTCTCCTTCTTCTCCTCCCTCCCCCTTCCCCTCCTTTCCCCTGCTTTTTCCCTTCTCTTTTCCCCCTTCCTCTCCTCCCCTTTGACCCCTTCTATTCTCTCCTTGCTTTCCTAGTATTTCCATCACACACCCTGCAAGGAAGATAAAGTAACTGTCCTGGTAGTGTTTTGTCACTGTGAGCTACAGCGTTCAGCAGATTTCAAGGCAGCTCATCCCTCAAAGAAGGGCTTCAGTACCCAATCCTAAGGCACTGGTCTCAACTCTCTGCAGAACTCCATCACAGGCAGCACTCAGTGATGGGTGTTTGGAGTCACAGTTTCCTCCACACGTTGCAAATTTGAGTCTCTGGTCTGTGCCAGTGTTAACTGAGGGCTGTCCTGCTCTATGTCTGTATTTGTGCATGGAGAGCAGACTGTGCTCTGCAGCACGACAGCTGCATGTTGTGTGATGAGAAACTTTGCTTCATTCTTGCTATCTTGATAAAAAGCAATGCCTGGGGAGAAGGAATTCTGACCTCAGTCTTTCCCACGCTCGTTGAAGAGCTTTGTAATCTCAGTGCTATGACCCAGGTGTGATGCAACCGCTGCTGTGCCCGTGGCTACGTGCACTGCTGCGTCCTGGTGGCTGGGAGTTGCAACCCACAGCACTGGGAGCCCTCAGCAGGGAGAGATGGAGGAGGAGGGGCACAGAGATGCAGCAGAGCTGCAACCCTGTTGGCAACTCACTGCAGGGGAGATTCCCTGTGGGATGTGGAGAGGAGCAGAAAGAGTTCAGAGCATCCCAGAAAAGCATGGGAAACTGCTGATTTTGAAGAAAAACCTAAATATATTCTGCCACTCAGGGGCCTTTTCTCCTCTATGAACCCAACTCTTTGAGTATTTTCCCAAGAGTGTGGCTATACCCATTTCCTGACCTTATGTACAAAGGCAACAGGGACGTTTTTGAAAATCCTGTGTCTTTCCCACTTGTCTTCCAGCAACTGTCACTACTTCGGAGCTTTCAGCCTGATAATGCTCTGCTTTCACTTCTCAATTAATTTCTCCTGATTAGTCACAGAACCACATCTAAAACTGCTGCACCTCCCCTGATTCTCCTCCACCTCCTCAAAATCAGATCTTGTCTTCAGTGCATTCTAGGAACAAGAAGAAACAGTGGATGTTGGAGACTTGCTATTTCTGACAGGTTCTTGGATAACTTTTTATAGCTGTTGGATGGGAGACAGCTCCCTTCAACACAGCACATGGATGTGTGTGGATGGGCCTCTCCACCTCTTACAGTCTTCTAGAAAGGGAATACCCCAAGTACAGCTCTGAGCAGAAGGGGAGTTCTTCTAGATGTCTGCTCTTACACTTACAGAATCATGGAGTCAGTAAGGTTGGGAAAGATCTCTAGGTTCATCAAGTCCAACCATCAGTCCTTCCCCACCATGCATACTCACAGAATCAGTGAGGTAGGACAAGACCTCTGAGACCATCTGGTCCAACCCCAACCCATCCCACCATGCCCACTAATATTCCCTCAGTGCCACATCTCCATGGTTTTTGAACACCTCCATGGACTGTGACTCCAACAGACTCTTCTAGAAGAGAGATTTCTTCTGATACCTAAGAACTGAGGTGAGACAGCTCGCAGTAAATAGAGTTTCGAGATGGACTTACATCCTTGGACAGGTCGGGTGGTTGTGCTGACTCCCCTGCCAATTAGTTCCCTATTGTTCTAAGTTCATGCAGGTACATCACACGCCTGGCACAGCCCTTTGTGCCCCCTGGGAGCTGTTGTGCTGGCTGCAAGCTGCACGCTAAATGAATCCCAGACCTTTTCCCCTGTGCCTTACTCTTGCCTTGGCGTGCCCTGCGTTTTGCTTCCGGGGGTTTTCCTTGCTCAGTGAGGAGAAGCAATGCATTGCAACCCATGGCACCCTCCCCTTGCTGCTGCACCATGCCTTTATTTGGCTGCTCATGGGGAGATTGAGGAGACATGAACAGGGAGCAAAAAACTGCACCTTGAACTGGGCAGGGCCCCATGAAAAGTGCTCGTTATCTGTATTTGCATTTGTTGTTCCATGCCTTTAATTAAAAGCTCCACGCAATAGAATAAATTACATATGCATTTTTATTAGACAAACACCAGAAAGTAAAGAGAGAAAGTCATGGGACACATTTTATATACAAAATCTGGCTGGAAAAAAAAATAACAAAACAACAAAAAACCAAAAAGCTGAGCGGTAACAAGCGAGTTGCAGATTTAAAACAGAGGGATTTCCGATCCACGGCAGAGCCCTGCATGTGTGCAAGAGAGGAGGCTTCCAGTGAGGCTCCTGCGCCACAGGACATCGGGTTCAGGTGGCTCCTGTTCTGCTTCCCCTGATTATGCTGTGGTGAAGGACCCGTGTCGTGGTGTTCTCTGGCGAGGGAGGGAGAGCTTTAGCTCCTGTAACTTCTCCGGGAGGAGGAGGAGGAGAAGAACTTCATGCTGGAGCTGCTGCCCCCACCCAGGGCACTGGTCCCCCCGGGCCCACTGCAGCTGTAGTTGTTCCCCATGCTGCACATGCCACCCCCCATGCTGAGGTTGCTTCCTCCTCCATATCCCGATCCCACAGTGGTTCTGGTCACGGCTGCAAAAGAGATAGAAAAGTAATAAGGCATTGGCTTCTCAGTGCAGGGGCATAAAAACGCTCAGGCGAGGTAATTTTATAGATTTTAGACTTACAGATATTCACTGGGACACCATCTCCAGCCAGCCTGTATGGGGAGAGAACAGCAACGTAAGAGGACAAGGATACAGACGACAGCAGGGAAAAATACATGGGCCATTTTATAGGACTCCTGTAAATATTTGGTATTGTCCATGGATGCTCCTCACAATATTCCATCACCCGACCTCCCCCTGCTCCTGGGTACCCCAATCGATGCGTGTACCTCATGAGGGAGCATCCCACCCATGTTTTAAAATACCCCCCCACATTGATCCTCCCTTATTTTATACTGCTTCGTACTCCAGCTCTTTGAACCCAATGGAATGTGTCCATCTCCAGGGAGGATCACACAGGGAAAAGTGAAATTTGCTGATATGTCTGCAGGGATTCTTTACCCACCTGCACTCCTCGCCCTCCAGCAGCTTCCTGTAGGTTGCAATCTCGATATCCAGGGCCAGCTTGACATTCATCAGCTCCTGGTACTCGCGCAGCTGCCGGGCCAGGTCTGCCTTTGCCTGCTGCAGGGCATCCTCCAGCTCAGCCAGTTTTGCTTTGGCATCCTTCAGGGCAATCTCCCCGCGCTCCTCAGCATCCGCAATGGCTGCTTTCAGATTTGCACACTAGGAGAGAGAAAATCTCGGTCACATTCCCCTATTTGACTTGTTCCTTTTCTACCCTATAATCACAAGGTCTTATTCCAGCATCACCAATTTAACTAATTTTACTGAGTTTTTTGTTTTTGACAGAAGTGTCAGCTAAGCAGAACTTGCCTACATTGCTTCTGATATTTTCTTTCCTTTCTTCCAATCTGGGGGGTAAATTTGTTAAAAGCATGGATTTTCCTGCCCTGTACCTGTTTCTTCACGCTGTCAATCTCAGCCCGCAGCCGCTGGACGTGGCGGTTGAGCTCAGAGATCTCCTGCTTGGTGCTGCGGAGGTCGTCCCCGTGCCTGCCTGCGGTAGCCTGCAGCTCTTCATACTGCCAGGGAGAGGAGCAGAGGTCAGGACAGAATCCAGCATTGTAGAGTGAAGAAGCATGTGAGTATCATGGAACCACGGGATGTTTGGGTCGGGAGGGTCCTTCAAGGTCATAGAACCATGGGGTGTTTGGGTTGGAAAGGTCCTTACAGCTCCCCCAGCCCCACTCCCTGCCCTGGGCTGGTCCCACTCCTCCATCAACTGCCCAGGGCCTCATCGAGCCTGGATCTGTGCACCTCCAGAGATGGGGCACCCACAGGTCTCCCTCCTGTTTCTAAGCTCACTTTATGGATGCAAAGACTGCAGTGAGGTCTCTCTGAAGCCTTCCCATCTCCAGCTGAATTTCCCCAGCTCCCTCATCCCTTCTCCATAGGAGAAGATTTTCCTGGAAGAGTCAGCCCTTCTCTATTCAAGACAAGACATGAAGACAGAAGCACGGAAAGCCCCATCTCCTTCACCTTGGTTTGGTACCAGGACTCGGCTTCAGCCCGGCTGCGGTTGGCGATGTCCTCGTACTGTGCCTTCACCTCTGCAATGATGCTGTCCAGGTCCAGGTTGCGATTGTTGTCCATGGTCAGCACCACGGAGGTGTCGGAGATCTGGGTCTGCATCTGGGACAGCTCCTGCAATGGGAACGGGGTGAGCTTGCACTCGGTGGTGCCTCCTCATCCCTAAGGATGAGCGCGCCAAACTGGGAGAGGCTGCAGATCATTATCTGCACGGTTCTAAAGAGTGAAGAGTTCAGCATCTCCTGGGGGGAGGAATTAAGGGCTGTTGGAGGGAGGTGGGTGATAGTACTTACAGCTTCGTAGAGGGCTCTCAGGAAATTGATTTCTTCGGTCAACGCATCTGCCTTGGCTTGTAGCTCAACCTTGTTCATGTAGGAAGCATCCACGTCCTGGAAGGTGAGAGAAGTGGACAGTGAGTTTTAAAGTCTTGTTCACGTGTGTATCTCTGCAGTAACAGAGCAGAGAAGAAGTCATGAAGAAGACAGGGAAGAAGTCAAGAGGGCATCAAGAAGTACGGATGGGTTTGTGGATGGAGAGTGGATGGAAAGAGTCATGAGCCGATGAGCCGCAATGCGCTCTCACCTTCTTAAGTGTCACAAACTCATTCTCTGCAATGGTGCGCCTGTTGATTTCATCTTCGTACCTAATGGAGGAGGCAGAGGGAGTATTGTTTAGGCAGGTAGCAGACGGAGGTGATTTTATTTTGCTGGAATGAACTTCCTTAACAGCAGTTTGCATACAATGTTCTTTTCTCCTACGTTGCATCTGAATAAGAGACCATGAGCGATTTCCTAGGCTGAACTAGTTAAAACAAGTACATTAAGAAAAAAAAAAGTGAAAGCATCTCTGCTATTCCTTTTCTCCTCTTTCTGGCCGTTACTCATTCCCCTTCAGCCTCTCTTAAGCAAATTAAGCATGCTGCCTCAAAACTTTCAGACCTACCGTGTAATTTTTTCTCAGTGCTAGGTAATTTAGTTAATAAGCCTTTGATCATATTCTAAATTATTCCCTGAATATTTGTGCATTTGGATCTGTTGCTCCGTTACCATTTATTTTGAGAAAGTGGCACAGCCTTCACTGTCGGGAATTCCTTCACTGTTGGGATTCCCATGTCCCAGTGCTGGAGGGCTCACCTGGACCCCCAGGTGGCGGTAGGATGGGGGAAGCTGAACCCATCAGGTGGGCAGAGCACCTCCCATGGACTTACTTCTTCTTGAAGTCCTCAACCAGGTACTGTGTGTTGACGAGCTCTCCCTCCAGCCTCCCCTTGTCGCTCAGCAGGCTGTTCAGCTGCATCCTCAGGTTGTTGATGTACGTCTCAAAAAGTGGCTCCAGGTTGTTCCGGACCGTTTTCATCCCCTGCTCTTGCAGCAGGCTCCACTTGGTTTCCAGCACTTTGTTTTGTTGCTCGAGGAATCGGACCTGAGAGAAGAAATATGTTGAAGATGTTTGGAAAGGGCAGAGATTGAGGTGAACTTCCTTTGCACTTGTGGGGTCCCAGTACCAGAGAGGGGTTGCAGTACCCTTTCCAACTGGTTTTCACAGATAAATTTATCTCTGATAGAAGCAGGAATTTGCAATTTGATTGCCATTTCCCTGCTCAGTGTTGCAAACAAGCACTGGAACTAATTTCCTTTCCCCTTCTGCCCTTTGAATAAGCGTGCAAGATGCAAACAGCATGTTGAAAATCAGATGAGGAGTAAACAGGATTGGAACTCCTATTAAGAAAAGTGCCAGTTCAGCCCCCTCTCAGCATTGCTCCTCCACTTTGAAAAAACTCTGAAATAATGCAGAATAATGCAGCATTTTGCTTGGAAGCAAGAGGAGCTGCTCAACCAGGAGAGAAATCAAGCAGGTGCTCTTGTGCATCTAATATGCTTAATGAGGAAATGAAGTGGACAGAAAGTGTCGGATCAGATTTTGCTATTTTGAGCAGTCCCAACTTGCTGGTACTGTTTCATTATGAGCTTTAAATGCCTTTGAGGAAAATTCAAGCACTGAGAGGCTTATATCTTCCCTTGTGCTCTTCCTTTTCTAGTCATTTCAGGATTGCTCGCATCTCACTTTAACTACCCAACACCTGTTATCCTGAAGTGCTCAATGGAGAGACCCCAACACCTGCAGAGGGGTGGAATTGCCTTTGAGAGTTTTCTCTCTCCATTTGCCTCACAGCAAATGAGAACCTCAGATGCTGGGTGATGCACTCATAGCAACCACTGCACAGCAGGTACCACTGCCTGGAGTTCCAGGGACAGAAGCATCTTCCAGTCCCATTCCTGATCACTGTTCCTTCTTGCTCAGCTCATGTGCTCATCATGCAATAAGAATCCCCATCAAAACATGAGGGCAGGGAAGCTCATGGCTCACCTTATCAATGAAGGACGCAAATTTGTTGTTGAGGGTTTTGATCTGCTCCTTCTCCTCCTTTCGGATCCTCTGGATGCTGGGGTCGATCTCCAGGTTGAGGGGCTTCAGAAGGCTCTGATTGATGGATACCTCCTGGATACCACCAGCAGGGAACCCAGGGCCTCCAAATGCCCCGTATCCGTAGCCCAGCATGCTCCCAGCACCTCCACCAAACCCTGCGGGGCCATAGAAGCCCCCACCCCTTCCAGCTGCAGAGATCCTCTTGCATCCACCGAAATTGTAGAGGCTTCTGCTTCCAAAGCCACCTCCAACCCTTGCAAAGCCACTGCCAGCATTGCAGCCCCCAGCACGGGTGACGGAGCGTGAGCTGAAGCTGGTGCGGCACGTGCCGGGCACGATGGCCGACGCAGCGCTGAAGCCACTTCTCCCCCTCTGGATCCTGACGGTGGACTGGCGAGACATGGCTGGTTTGGGATGGGGTGGATGCTACGGCACGAGGGAAGCAGTGGAGGTGCTGGCCTGGAGCAAGGAGTGGGAGGGAAAGTAGAAAGATGAACCTGTGCTCCTCACGGGCTCGGGAGAGCCCTTTTATGCATTTATGAGACTGGGATGGGTTTGATGAGGTGGATCGTCTTTCTGATTAATTAGGCTTGGCATGTCCAACAGCATTCTGGAGAGAGAACTCACTCCGCACACACGCCCTTCTGAAATAATACAGCCAAGTTCTGAGCAACAGTGGTATTGTTTGGGAATAACTGTCGCCTTCTGCTGTCTTTGTAGACGGGCAGACTCTGCACCATATCAAAGAGTTTGGGAGCTGCAGTGAATCAGCCTGGTCACGGGAGGGAAACACCGTTTAGAGTGGCTGTCACTCAGCTCTTGGGATCTTCAGACCATGGGACTGCTCTCCTCAGCCCATCTCTGTGAATGGGGCTTTAAGAAGTTGCAGTCCCTGGTGTTTTAGGGAAAGGAATGTGTTGGCAGGGCAGCGTTGTGCAGTCCTGTAGAACATTGCACGTTGCTTTATCCTAGGATTTTGTGGTGTCATGGAATCGCAGAATCCTTTGGTGGCTTGGGTTGGAAGAGTCCTTCAAGATCACAGCATCACGGAATCACAGTGTGGCTTGAGCAAGAAGGGAACTTCAAAGCCCCCCCATCCCCACTCCTTGCCTTTGGGCTGATCCCATTCCTCCATCAGCTTCCCAGGGTCTGTTTATGGCCTTGAGCAGCCCAAGGTGCACCTATGCTTCTCTGGGCAGCAGTGTTAGGGCCTCACTATTTTCTGGGTGAAGAATTTCCCCCTCACATCTGACCCAAATCTCCCCTCTTTTAGTTTGAAATAAGCCATATAGTCCCCTTCTACAGTACATCTACACAACTACCTCTACTTTATCTCTATATAGGCTGTTTCTTGAGCTGGTGTCTTCTGAAAATCCTGCTCCAGTGGACATACCTTTCTGTGACTCTTAAAAATAATATATATATATATAGAGAGAGAGAGATAGGAAGGAATGAAAATGGAACATTTTGTCACAGTCTCTTGTTCACACCTGGACTTTGACGCCCTATTCACTGCTGCCATTGAGTTCTGTCACGGCTGTGCTGCTCCCCCAGCTTCCAGGCTTTCAAATTTGACATTTAGGAGGATGGAAACGAAAACAATGAGAAAAAAAATAAATAACTAAGGAGGAGGAAGGACTGTGGGAATGGAGCTGCTCTGAATCCACTGGCTCTATGGAAATAGAGTGCTCCAGGGCTGCTCCCAGCTCCCCGTCTATAAACATGATGTCATTCCCCAAAGATTTAATCAGCTCTCTGCTCATCTGAAAGAGGGATCCCATCAACCTGAATCCATGAGAAAAGTGCTCCACAGGATCTCTTGCCCAAATCCTTAGCAATCTGGGCACAAAGATACCTGGCCCTGTCCTTTCCCATCCATGTGTGCCAATGAAAACGTTTGCTTTGCATGAGCATCACAAGCAGATCAAGTAATGAGTCAAATTGTGATATCGTGATAAAGCCTCAATTTTGAGGGGGGAGAAGAGCATCTGGCCCTTTCTGTTTCTGGCAGGTCTGGAAAAGATGACTCATATGTAATTACACAAGAGGGTGACTTCGCAAAAGCATCCCCCCGAACAGCTTCATCTCGTGTTTCTGGAGCAGCAATCCTTTGTTTATTTTGGTAGCTGTTCCTTCAGCTCCTTCAATGAAGGGCTGAGCCTTCATTGTGATGCTGCACCTTCCACACTGCAGCAGTCCCAGTGGGGCTATTCGCCAGGTGTGCACATTTGCACACCCAAAGCCCTGTCATGCTTTGGGCATTGCTCCCTGGGGTGCCCTCCATCCCTTGTGGCTCCACCTGAAAGCTTTTCCCCGTTGCTGTGCAGCTCAGGAGGGCATCAGCACCAAAGGGATTCCCCGTCCTTTGCACAGCTGCAGCACCACAGGGCTGACTCAGGGTGCGCAGAGCCTGAATCCCACCCTTGGTTACCAACGAGTGTGATGAGTCAGTGCTTTCCTTTCCCCCCTCAGGCTCCATTTTACATATGAAACTCGTCTTTTTTAGCCAAAGAATACGCCAACCGCGTTGGAGTCCATTGTTAATAATAGTAATAATACAGCTCCTCCAACCAAATAAAAAGAAATTAATTTCTTTCCATTTCACATTTGCACTAGGGTGGAGGTGATGCGGTTGTCACTCATCTGGAAGGAATTTGAGAGGTAATTACAAAAGGCAGAACTGGGAGCACCAGGAGCTGCAGCTACAGGTCTGGGGTATGGGTGATGGCAGAGGGTCCCCACCCTGCCCTGTTGATGAAACATTGGGTTTCCAGGTAGCTCCCGGGGGAGTGTCTCCCCTGTGCCCTGCAGCTCCAGGCATGTGGATGAAATTGCTGCTCTAATGCAGATAGCTCACCCTGATACGGACTTCTCCTCTGGCAGAGTGTAAAAAGCAGAGTGGTGCTCTGCTTTTTCCTCCTGATCAGATCACAGAGCTGTGCTGGGGCTGAGAGCCCCGTAATGCAGCTCTGGAGCCTTTTCCACCCCTCTCCCTCCTTTCCTCCTCCAGGGATAGGTGGGAGATCCCTGAGGTGCAGCCTGGTATCACGCTAACATTGAGGTAATACACTCCTTTGAGGGTAGAAAAATGAATTCTGGCTGCATCAGGGCAGTAGCTACAACTCAGGTCCTTGTAGTGGGAAATTTGAGCTGTTTCCCAACCAGAGAGAAAGATGGCAGCTTCAACAACTTGCCCCCAACACCTGCCCAGCATCCACCGTGAGATGATTCCACGGATGCATTTGCCATGGGAGCCTTCGTTTCACGATGGATGTCTGTTCTCAGACAAGGTTGGAACCTTTTAGCAGTGGCTTAATGTGATTTCTTTGCAAAAATAGACATTTATAAAATAAGAGCATGTCCTACTGACTCGTGTTGGTTCACTAACTAATCTCAGTTTAATTATCAGTAAAGTCAAGGCTATAATTTACGTTAATTGCTTAAATTAAAGCCTTTGGGTTAAACTTGGGCTGCTAACCTAAATTCAAACCCTGCTCGTTTTGGCTGTAATTTACCGTATCATCCCAACCTAACGCAGTCCCAATCATCACCCTGAGCTTTCTCCACGCTGCACCCCATGGTCGCTGCATGGCATGGCAGAGACCTCCAGGAGCGGAGAGGGAGCTGGGATTCACCTCCCTGAATCTCATTTCCCCAAGGAATGAATTGGGATGAGCTGCTCCTGAGCGTTCCCATAGGTGTTGCCCCATGCTGGGCGTTGCAGTCCTTTGAGCCTGTTCCCAGCAGTATCTGGAGGCCAGTCAGCTGGAAGTAGTGCAGGACTTTGAAGTGTAGGTGTGACCAGCTTTCTCCAGATAATTGGTTTTTGTGTTAGTACAGAGACACCAGTGCAGCTCAGGGTTTTGGAGTAACTTTGCTTTTATTTTTGCTGTTGTTGCAGATTGAGGAGGTCTCCTTTCAGCCCGTGGCTTGTTGCATCCCAAAAGAGCCTCTGACCTTGGTGGGTATATATCCTTATCCTGCTTTGCATTCAACACAGCTGCTTGCATGGAGGTACCCAAATAATATAGAATAAATAATACCCAAATAAATAATCCCAAATACCCCCAAATTATTCTGTTGCTCCTTCCGAGCACCTTTAATGCCCTGGATAGGGCTCTGTGACCCTTCTAACCCAAGCCATGACCTTCTAACCCATTCCACGGTTCTATGATCATAAAGAGCCCTTCCAACCCAACCATTCTATGGTTCTGCGACCCTTCCAAGTCAAACATCCTATGGTCCTATGGTCTGTAAGGACCCTTCCACTCCAGCCATCCTATGGTTCTATGGTCTGTAAGGACCCTTCCACCCCAGCCATCCTATGGTTCTATGGTCTGTAAATACCCTTCCAACCCAACCATCCTATGATTATGATTCTGTAATCTCCTTTCTCATGGCCCTAGGGTGAATCTTCTCTCATTCTAAAGCTGCAGTGAAAGTGAAGTTGCTGGATACCTCATGATTTCAGATTAGCATCCTGCACCAGCACCGCTTCCAGCTCAGGGTTTCTTGCAGACAGACCTAGCGCTTGTGCAAAATTTAATTTCTCCCAATTAAAACAAACAATACCATTCTCTGAGCAGGTAAAATCAACAAGTATTATTCACATATTCTAGGAGGTGTCTCCGAGCGGGGTTTTGCTCTCCAAACAATTGACTGATCCTTGTGAATTGTAGCAGGGGTGTTGTTCCTCTGCTGGATTTACTGAGTCCTCCGTCACCTTCCCTGAAGCCATTTTGTGTCTTGCTTCATTTCCAGGCTGCATGCATTTGCAAGTTTTTTTAAAAATAATAATTTTGTTAGGAGAAAACCTTGTCTGGAGGGGACCCTGCATGGTAGGACCAACACTTCCAGCCTGTCAGCCAGCTCTGTGCCTTTCCCTTGCTCTGGGTCCCCACCTACTGGAGACAGCAGGCTGGGTTGTCGGGTGCCTGCACACCTCTGGCTTTTTGGCAGTGGGGCTGCTCCTTCTCCTCCCCCCTCCTTTGGGGTACCCATGGTTGGAGCTGGTAGGGCATGTGGGATGGTGGGTGGATACTGGGAAGGAGTGAAATGCTCACCTTAGGACATCCCTCCAAAGGGCTGTGGGGATTTTCTGCTCTTTGCTGGTACTGTCCTCCTTCCTTTAGGGGGTGACATTTCCCTTCCCAGGGGCTCGGTGCAGAGCCCCCTCCTCCTCAGTGCAGTTCTTGATGTCCTGGCTGTGGTCCTCATGCTTGCACTGGGCTCCTTTGCTGTAAGGTTTGCTCCATGCTATGCCTACGCTAACTCAAGGATCTTGGCCAAGACTTTGACAATCACCTTCCTTTCCCCATCTCCTGTGTTTTCTCACTCCTGCAGGGATGAGAAAAAAAGACAGCCCCATGGTGGGGTTCCTCCAGCTTTTGTCTTGCCCAGAAGCAGCTTGTCCTCTCTCTGTCTCAGTTCTCTGCCCAGCCCACTCTCCCCAGAACCACACTGGAGTATGAGTCCTAGCCCCGAGCTCAAGGTAGTACTCTTAGAATCACAGAATCACACAATGATTGGGTTGGAATAGACTTCAAAGATCACGGAATCATAGAATGGATGAGTTGAAAGGAACCCCAAAGTTCTCCCTCTATGGGCTGCTCCCACCCCCCCATCAGCTGTCCATCCCTATCCACGGCCATGAGTACGTCTAGAGATGGGGCGCCCACACGTCTCCAGGCAGCTGTGCCACGGCTTCACCAGCTCTGAGTAAAGAATATTCTCCCCACATCTCACCCAAATCTCCTATCTTTTAATTTAAAGCCATTCCCCCTTGTCTTATCACTGCCTGCCATTGTATAAAGCTGTTCTCCTGTTTACAAGCTCCATGTGAGTACTGGAAGGCTGCAACGATATCTGCCTCCTTGGAGCCTTTTTGTCTCCAAACCAATTCCCATCAGAGAATGAAGCCAAGAAGCAGCAGTTTTTAAAAATGACAGATGCTCTTTATTGGACAACACAGTATGGTAGGAAATGAAGAGGCTATAGCCATGGATCAAGAAGTTGGAGATCAGTGGCAATTCTTGTATGCAGAAAGCAGTAACATTTCCCCTGGGTTCCTGAGAGAATAGAAGGGGCTGGAAAATTCTTTTAATTGCAGCTGAAAGGTTTGGAGGTTGTAACATGTGATGTGATTAGGGGCTTGCAGAGCCTCTTGGGGCTCCTGTCCTTGCCAAGGACCCGGGGCTGAGGTTTCACAGGGCTGTCCCCTTGCTGTGGGGCGAATGAAACAAATGCATGTGGCCTCCCCCCATTCAGCAAAGTGCTTTAAATGCTTTGCATTAAATACATGATCTCGTGAGGAGGAATGGAGGAGGGCTGGCATCAGGTACCGTGCCAGTTCCCAAAGCCCCATTGGTGACCCGCTACAACCTGTGCTTTGGCCAAAGGTGCTCCAGATTCTCGCAGTGGGGTCCTGGTCTCCCCCCAGTACCCCGAGAGAGGCTGGCGAAGGACGGAGGAAGGAGAGGGCGCAGCGCAGCTATGTACAGCACTGATTGGTAAGGCAGCACGTTGCTTTTGGAAGGCAGGAAACACACCGTTGGCCGGAACCATCCTTATCTGATGGTCTTTTTGCTGGTAGTGGTCTTGGAAACGATCCGCACGCTGCCTCCCGTGCTGGAGCTGACCCCTCGGCTGCTGCTGGAGCTGAAGTTGCTGCCTCCACCATAGCTGTAGCTTCCACTCCCGCCCCCGAATCCTCCACCGCCGCCACTGCTGCTCATGGTGTAGCTGCCACCACCTCCCATGCTGAGACCACTGCTCATGCCGAGACCACTGCTCATGCCGAGACCACTGCTCATGCCGAGACCTCCACCCATGCCGAGACCACTGCCCATTCCAAGACCTCCTCCCATGCCGCTGCCGTAGCCCATCCCGCTGGAGCTGCTCACTACAGCTGTGAGAGAACAGGGATGAGTGAGACCACCTCAGCGTCTTGCAGATCCCCAGGGTGGGGGGACAAACCCCAGCAAACAAGGCTGGGAAAGGGGGAGATACTTACAGACACTCACGGCTCCAACGCCCTCTCCGGCGAGCCTGGTGGAAAAGAGGAAAGGAGGAGGTAACACAGGCAAGATGCAGTGGTACCTGGGAGGGTCTCACTGCAGGAGCATTCAGTTGGGGAACTATCCAATGGGGGGACCATCTGAATGGGAGACTATCCAACTGAGGGGCCATCCAATTGCAGGGCCTTCAAACTGGAAGACCATCTAATTAGGAGAACATGCAATTGGGGAATCATTCATCTAGGAGACCACTCAGTTGGAGGACCATCTAAATGGGGAGTCGTCTAGTTTGGGGACGATTTCTGTCTGGAGGCCTGTCTAATTAGACTTTCCTGTCCTTCAATAGGGTCCTTCCACTGCTGGGCTATCTCTGCATCACATGTGGAAGTGGCAATTCTCATTTTTCTTAGTGCAACAAATGCCAACAACTGAAGGAACCCAACTTTTCCTAGAAACCTCACATTTCAAAACACCCATCTCCTCCCTCTTTTTTTATGTTCCTTTATGCTCCAGATCCTTGGGGTGAGCTGAGGCTTTGGGCCCAAAGAGAGATGCAGCATGCAGGGAAAAGTGAAATTTGCTGATATGTCTGCAGGGATTCTTCACTCACCTGCTCTCCTCGCCCTCCAGTAGCTTCCTGTAGGTTGCAATCTCAATGTCCAGGGCCAGCTTGACATTCATCAGCTCCTGGTACTCACGCAGCTGCCGGGCCAGGTCTGCCTTGGCTTTCTGCAGGGCATCCTCCAGCTCGGCCAGTTTGGATTTGGCATCTTTCAGGGCCATCTCCCCACGCTCCTCTGCCTCAGCGATGGCTGCTTGGAGACTGGCACACTAAAACAGAGGGAAGCAGATAGCTGTTTAAGTTGGGCTACCCAAATCTGCAGTCCTGTGGTACTGTTGGTGCTACCGGGGGGCTCCAGCATAGCACTGGGATTTGTGGAGCTATCAGACAGGTGTCAGAGGGTGGGTGACTGAAGAGCCACAGTCCTGTTCCACGTGAAAATGAGCAGAATCTGCATCTCTTTGTTTTGCTGGCATGATGCAATAGCTCACAGCTTGCTTCCCCAGCAAGAAAACAGCAATCACAGCACATCCTCACATCAGGGGACATTCTCCAGTAGGGAAAAGAGATGGCCATGCCTGCCAATACAGGACATGGGCTTCCATCCCTGCCCAAAGCTAGGAGCATCCCCCCTACCTGTTTCTTCACACTCTCAATCTCGTTGCGCAGCCGCTGCACCATCCGGTTGATCTCTGAGATCTCCATCTTGGTGTTTCTGAGGTCATCGCCGTGGCGCCCAGCTGAGACCTGCAGCTCTTCATACTGGTGGGCAGAAAGGAGGAAAGCAGTGGTGAGGGACCATGGGGCTGGGAATGGTGTGTACCAAGTCTGGGTGCAGGTTGAGGGCGACCTCTGAGCACATTGCTTAGTCCAGAGTTGGCAAACTGTGCCTTGCATAGAGCGCCTATGTGTTGTCACCTGCTTTAGGAGCCTGGAAGGGAAAGAGCAGTGCCCTGTTTTTAAGGCCAGGTCTACCAGCAGCTCTGTGAGCCCAGAATCAAGGTGGGTTGGGTTCACAGCAGGGAAAGTCTGCTGTCTTGTGCAGCGGTCCACCAGCAAGCGATGGCAATCTGTATGCAAGAACCCATTGCAACGTGCACAGAACGTTACTCAATTTCTTGTGCAGCGCTGAGGTCCTTCCTTGGTTCCCTTCAGCTAATATAATGTAGCATCTGTGGTCCCTGTCACCCACCTTGTTCTGGTACCAAGCCTCTGCCTCAGCTCGGCTGCGGTTGGCGATGTCCTCATACTGTGCCTTCACCTCTGCGATGATGCTGTTGAGGTCCAGGCTGCGGTTGTTGTCCATAGACAGCACCACGGAGGTGTCAGACACTTGCTGCTGCATCTGGGACAATTCCTGCAGAAGATAGAAAAAAATGAGTTAATTGTCTGCTTTCTGCAGTGGAAACCATAAGATGGCTTCAGAGCTCTTCCAAGAGATGCAATTTCTTGCATTTCTCTCTATCTCTCTTGGCACAGGTCATCATCCTGGAGGTGTTCAAGAAACGTGGAGATGTGGCACTCGGGTACAAGGTTAGGGGGCATGGTGAGATGGATTGGGGTTGGACTGGATGATCTTAGAGGTCTTTCTCGACCATAATGATCCTATGAGTCTACAATTCTTCTCTGATTCTACTTATCCACAGTTTTCTATCTTATGGCTGCACTGTGATTTCTAACAGGCAGCGATGCTTCCTCCTTCACTGCCGTGCAGAACTGAGTGTAGAGCCAAGGGACGTCGTGCAGAGAACTGACTGCTCACCGCTTCGTACAGAGCCCTCAGGAAGTTGATCTCATCTGCCAGCCCATCTGCTTTGGCCTGCAGTTCCACCTTGTTCATGTAAGCACCATCCACATCCTAAAGAAAAGCAAAGCAAAGCTTCAGGTGCAAACCCACAGCAAAGCTCAGATTCATGGGGATCTGACTGGAGTCAGAATTGCTCCCTTACTGTGGGTATCGGAGCAATACTCAGCCCATTACCCACTCCTGGTTGTGCTTACGCTGTATTTCACTGCCTGACCCTGCTGTGATGCCGCAGGACCCCATCTCCCAGCAGCTCTGCTTGGGCTCAGCCCTTTTATTCCATTCCCCCTTCCCTCACTCCCTCTTTACTCACCTTCTTGAGCACCACGAACTCATTCTCTGCACCCGTGCGCCGGTTGATCTCATCCTCATACCTGCAGAGATAAGAGAGGTTTTGGGCAGCAGCAAAGAACCCCACAGAGTGCAGAGATGGGTCCCACGTCACTCAATGTGGCTCGTGGATTCATCCTGCATCCCGCTTCTTTACAGAGCAGATATAGAGCAAATGGACACTGAGGCTGAACCTTCAAGGACTCCATGTGTGAGAAGACCTGGCTGAAATCTAAAGAATCCAATTGCTGCCTTTAGATCCAAGCTCATGCAGGGTTGCGTGGCATGGCGCTCGTAGAGACGTTTGCCCAAAGCAAAGATGTGCAAAAGCTTTCAGTGAAGCTGGACTGTAATACCTAGCAACGCGACCGTTTGATATTTGATGTAATAATAATGCTAATGGCCCTGAATAACCCACCACAGCATTTAATTTACTAAAAAAGAAAAAAAAAAGGAGAAGTCTGTGATTCTTTAACCACGGTTGTGCAAGGGCAGATCGTTAAGTAAGCCTCAGATTATGTCTATGAGGAACTTTTTATGTCTCTGAGCAACATCCTCTCATCAGATAATCAGGGCAGGGCTTAGCTAGAAAGCCGACAAAGCATGTGGGCTGCTGTGGCAAAGAGCTGGCTTTGAAAGGCAGGTTTGTGCCAGTCCTCCAGCTAATGCTGGTGAGCATCTCCTGCAGTTGGAGCTTGGGTGGACGGCAGGCAAGGTCAAAATGAGCCTGAGGATGAGGAACCAGATCCAGACTTGAAATAAAACATGTTCTCTTGCCCAGGCAGTACTCCAAGATCCAGACAATGCCCTTTGTGGTATTAGCTGATGCTTGCAAAAGGCTCTAACTCATACCAAGACCTGAAATGCACCCAAGGACAACATACCAGGAGCTGGTTTGTGTCAGCCCGTCCTGTCAGATCTAACTAGCTCCCATCCCCAAAATCACACGCTATTCACACACTTAGCTCTCTAATATTACCATGTCCCTGTACTTCAGGATGTTTTACTCAAACTTACAGTTGACCAGATCTCATTGCATGAGAGAGAAACTGTTCTCACCGCTGGAAAACAGATTGCCGTGCCTAAAAAAAGCACCTAAATGTCCTCAGAGCCAGTGGGCACCCACCAACACGTCCCAGAAATGATTCATCCCCCTCTGCTGCGTGATGAAGCTGACAGCCTTCCCCAGAGGTTTACTTTAAGGGGAGCTGAGGCAATGGGCAAAGAAAAGAGCTGAGCATCTTCCATGTGATTGGAACTAAGCGAGGCTGAGCATGTGCGGTTGCCTGGGCCCCTTTGGAAAGGTTGAGATTTCCTTTGCTACAACAGAAAATTAGGGATTTGGGGAGCTGGCCATGTTTTATCCCTGTTTTCATGTCTAGTGCGGTCATGAGCTACACTTTTTACTATTTACAGGTGATATTTTGGGAAGCCCAAGAGTTCAGATCATGGCTCCATGACAGTGCATGAGCGTGTCCTGTGCTAAATGCCAAACCTGTGTGCAAGAAACCCAACGTGAATAGAGGTAACCAAGATCAAATTTTGCTGCTCTGTGTTCATTTTGCAAACTGCAAGAAGAGCCCAGTGCGAGCACAAGGCATGCACCACAGAGCCCAGCCCCTCTGAAATCAATTTTCTTGTCTGTTGACCTACAGAGCGCAATCTCTTACTTGTTCTTGAAGTCCTCCACCATGTCTTGCATGCTCCGCAGCTCCGAGTCCAGCCGTCCCCTCTCCCCCATCAGGCTGTCCAGCTGCCGCCTCAGGTTGTTGATGTAGGACTCGAAGAGGGGCTCCAGGGACTTCCTGGTGACCGTGTGGCCCTGCTCTTGCAGGAGGCTCCATTTGGTCTCCAGCACTTTGTTCTGCTGCTCCAGGAAACGCACCTAGGGAAACAAAAAATGACTGTAACCCACCAGAAAGAGAAGAGGGAGAGCATGGAATGAGGATCTTCCCACAGGAATTCAGGGCACTGAATTCTCCAAAGAAGCATAAACAGCTTAGGGAGAATTTTCAAGAGTTATCAAGCTGCCAAGCATCCGCGTTTGCAATTCTACGTGTTTCTCTCTGCGCTGGATGCTCAGCCCTCCTTAATGGTTTAAACTGGTGGTATCTTGTGGAGGAACTTTGCCCCTTCACAATCCATGGAGGATCCACGCAGTGCCTGGGCAGTTTTTTAGGCAAAGGGGGATTTGCTATGTCAGCAAAACGAGGCTCTGGAGATCTTGTCCTTGCAAAGAGCATAGGACAATTCTTAACATTCAGCCAAGCACGGATTAGTTCAGGCAAGCCCTGAATCCAAAGAAAGAGCTTCCTGCTGTTCTTTCCTGAGGCAAAAGGGAATGTGCCCAGGCTGAGACACAGCTCTCACCTTGTCGATGAAGGAGGCGAATTTGTTGTTGAGGGTCTTGATCTGCTCCCGCTCATGTGTCCGCACCTTCTGGATCTCAGGGTCAATGTCCAGCTTGAGGGGTGCCAGCAGGCTCTGGTTGACAGTCACTTCGTGGATGCCACCGGGTGGGCAAACGGGGAACCCGGGGCCGCCACGACCACCAAATCCAGTACCTCCCATCCCAAATCCTCCCAGCCCATAGCCACCACCACCACCAGCTCCTCCTAAGCCCAAAGCAGCGCCTGCTCCTCCACCATAGCCCAGACCAAAGCCAGATCCTCCACCAAAGCCGTATCCAGCTCCACTCCGCAGCCCTCCGCCAAGGGAGATTCTCTTGCTTCCACCCAGGTTATAGAGACTTCTGCTGCCAAAGCCGCCACCGGCTCCGAAGCCTCCTCCGCCTCCAGCTCTTCCTCCTCCAACTCTGGAGACAGAGACGGAGCTGAAGCTGCTCCGCGTACCACTGCCACCTCCCACGATAGCAGAACCTGAGCTAAAGCCCCTCATGCCCCCTCCGGTGGAAGATCTGTATGAGATCCGGCTCATGGCTCGTGCAGTTGGAAACACAAAGAGCAGGAACGAGGGAAAGAGCTGGTGATAGAAGCTGAGCAGCAGCAGAGCAGCAGAGGGCAACGGAGACAGAAACCCCTGTGATGGGAGAGCCTGGGAGCCTCCTCTTTTATCTGCTTGGAAAACTTGGCACGGGGATTCAGAACTTGACGTGCCTTGCAGCAACTTGCCTTGTCAAACACACCTAGGCTACGGCGAGGCGCTGAAAAATGCATTGTTTGCAGGCAAGAAAGTAACGGAGCAAGGGAGCTCCCCCCACCCCCAGAGCCCTGAGTCACCGAAGGAGAACTGGACGGGATCGGTACGAGCAGGACGCGGCACGAAGCTCCCAGAGCCCCAGGAGATCCTGTTCTCTATGCCAAGCTCACCCGTTGCAGCAAGCTTCCCTGCTCTGAAGTGAGAGGAAATTTGGGATTGAGCACACTGAATGCAAAAAAATAAAAATAACAGAGGCTGATGTCCCCAGGACCACCTGGTATGGGGTTGTGTTGTGTTACATGGTGACCAAATGGGGGCTGATGTCCCACAGACCACCTGATTTAGGGCTGTGTTGTGTTACATAGTGAAAAAAATGGGGGCTGATGTCCCCAGTACTGCCTGATTTGGGGTTTTGTGCCCTAGGGAGAGCTGGCAGCGGGAGAGGAGGATCTCCTTCCCAGCTCTGTACTTTTGGTTCCTCTTGGAAAAGAGCTCTGAAGGATAAGGGGCTGAGTGGGAGGTGTCTGCTGGTTGTTTTAGTAAAAATCTGTCTCTCCATTGCAGGAGGAACAGAGAAATCAACTGTTGTTGTTTTCAAAGACAGCAAGGGACTCACCTTTCCAAAATAACATGAAACTGCATTAAATTGTGTGCTGACCCCTCTAAAGAGGATATTACAGAGCTACTGGGGAGTTGTTCTTGTTCCGAGCCTTCCAGCCAACTGAGGGCTCAGAAGTTCCCTAGGAAGCTGTTTTGTATTGCTCCCCCCATTTTGGCCCTCAAACCCGCCATTTCCACGTCACTGCGCTCAGCAGAGGGGAACTTACCACTTTCTCCCCCATCTCCCTCCCACCCCTCCCTCGCTCTGCTGAGATCATCTGTGATGGTTTTCTCCTTGATCCTGAGCTCAGGTTGAATCTGCCCTGCAGTGGGGCTTTGGGATGGTGCAGGAGCACTGGATGGCATCTCTTCTTGTGACCCCAAAGGGATGAGTTGCACATCCCCCACCCACCCAAACCCATCTGCAACGCAGACCCAGCCCAGCTGCCATCCGTGTGCCAGATAAACCAACAGCACACAGCAGAGAGATAAAGCTGAATCAAAGAGATTTTAAAAAATTGGCTACGTGAGCAATAAGTACGGAACATAATCCAGGATGAGTCGCTCCAGGGTATCTGCGGCATCTCATGGCTTGTTTCTGTTGATGTGTTTCCAGCTGCCGTTTGTTCTGTCTGGGAACTTGAAAGAACCTGAGCAGAAGGGATTTTTGATTTATTTATTTTATTTTGTTTTGTTTTGTTTTATTTATTTCCTTGCTGCAATCATAAAAGCTCTCCCAACCCTCATCCATGCCATCCACTGCATGATGCCAAAGATGTGAGTCATGGGCATGGAGCGCACTGGGGTGAGCAAAAGGAGTGGGGCCAGGCTGTAGCGAGGGGGTGCTCTCAGCTCAGGAATGGAGGCACTGAAAACACCAAATCTTTGCAGGAAAACCTAGCCCACACCCACCTATCCCGAAGCTGAAGGAGCTCTGATTTCACAGCGATGCACAGCGACTGTAGAACCCAGTCCTAACGCCAATTCCAGGAATGCTGCCGGGGCTATTGACATGAAATAAATCGTGCTGGGAGAACAGCACGTGTGCAGAGGTTGGGTTCCTGGTGGATGGGTCCATCGCTGCAGATGGAGCCATGGACAGGGGCCAAGCAGCAGTGCGGGGAGCATGCCTTTGGCTCCTAGAGCTATGCAAAGTCACACCTGGGAACCAAGCACAGTGTTGTAATTAACACAAAGAGAAAAAGGCTTCATGGCAAGGCAAGGCACTCATTACCTCCCAGCTCTTCTAGGAAAGCCTGTTGCTGCAGACAGTGGTAATTAAGTGGAATATTACAAAGGGCTCAGTGAGCTGGTTAGGCACAGAACTCGAGGAGAATTCTTGCAGTGTCTCACTCCTTGCTCTCTCTGTAGCTGCCCAGGGCTTCTGCGTTTGCTCCCTTTGGGCATCCCCACCTCCTTTCCTCCCTTTTGGGCCCTATCTGTTTTTTCTTCCTTTTTTTTTTTTTTTTTTTTTTTTGCTTTTTTTATTCTCCTTGGCATAAAAGACGCTCGCAGTGTAAGGTGAGCTGAGGTTAGGTCATCCTTAGCTGCATTAACTCCTACCACGCTCTGCAGAATCTCTGCAGATTCTATCCTTAGCACAGGGCGCACAACCCGAGATGACTCACCATTTATTTTTAACCTTTGTTCATTTTTGGTCTCTTTGCCCCAAACACCGTCCTCTGTGACGGCTGAGAAGAGGGGATTTTCCTCCAGATTTTGGTCTCTTTCACTGCAGCTCCTTTGATTTTTGGGTGGTGCTTCTTCACTCGGTGCTGCCGGCTCCTGGCGAGGTTTTGGGCGCACGCGCCTGCCCTGGGGATGGAGGGGGCAGAGTGAAGCATCTGGCCCTTTGAAATGCAATAAGCTGTGAGGGTTTGTCTGAGGGTTCTTTTTTTCTTTTCTCTTCTTATTTTTTTCTCCTTCCCCTTTTACAATCACCAAACCTGCAGGCATCATAGGCTGCTCTGCTCCATCACCAAAACCACCCTCAGCGCAGATTGTCCTGATGACATCCTCCCCCAGAGCCCTGCACTCTGTGTCCCTTGAGAAAGCCAAAATTAAACACTGTGTGACCTTTATTTCTCCTGTTTTCACTTTTGCCTGAGCTTTTAGAGCTGTCCCAAACCCTCTTTTATGGAAGAAAGGCTTTTGAGTTAATCCTAATGATCCAAGAAGAAAACAATGCCTGATTTTTTTTTTTTTGTCCCCCTTCCTCCCCTTTTCCCATACACCTCGATTCAGTTTCAGACAGCACGCACCTGATTTCAAGCATTTAATTGCATTTTCTTTTTCAGTTTTGAAACTTTTTCCCTAAAGTGAAACCAAATCCTCACCCCATTCAGTTTTCTGCAGGCTCATTCTGCTGGTTCTGCTTTGGAAGAAAAGCACTCAGGAACAAATACATTACAGTTGTTTTATTGGACACGTTCCCAAAAGAGAGAGGAAGGAAAACATAGCATTGTTTTGCTACCGTTGAAGTATAAAAAGCTGCAAATTTCTTTGGTATTTTCATCAAAATAAAGGCAGAGTGGAGCACTACAGGGGCAGATCCCATCAGAAAGGGGCACCTTTGGCACCTGCTCCTGATTGCCACATTTTCCATGCGTTGGGCTGAGATATGAATGCATTTTTTTATCCAAATGCATCTCTTTTGGCCCAGAAACGCATACCCCATGGAGCGGATGAGGTCCCCCTGGAGCAGCATGGACGTGGCCCTCTGTGTGAATTTTTGCAGGGATCTTTTGTCTCAGCAGGCTTTTACCTTGATTGCTGCTGCTGACACCATGGGGGAAGTCAGTGAGGTTTGGGCGTTGGGGTGATCTCAGCACTTTTAAAGCCATTTCCACAAAACCTAGCATGAAGCAAGACAATAACCCAATGTAACTGCAAAGGCTGATCTGCTGAAAACCTCTGTGTTCTGGTTATTTTTTAAAACAATCCCAAAAATCTGATAATTTAGGGAACAAGGTCTTTCTCACCTGCTTGGGATCCATCAGAGGAGACAAAATGCACTTGCAAGGTTACATGCAAGGTGCTGCTATGGGACAAACATTTATTTAGGAAGAGAAAGGACAGAAGTGAGAGTGGTTCAGGGTTCTGTGGACATCTCAGGGATCTTTCCAGATGCTGTGTGGTTGCTCAGCACATCTGGAAGCAATGCACTTTTCAAAGCTCAGCCACAGGTGGGGAAAAGAGGGATATTTTCCATCAAACTCAGTAACTTAGAAGTGTCTCCTCATGTGTTGCCATTAGAAGAGGGTGTCTTAAGAGGAGCACTGAGCTTGCAAACCACTGCCTGGGATCTTTCAGAAGCCTCCCAGAGTGTTTCTGCTTAGCAGAAAAACCCCTCACAGATGTATGGAAATGTGTGAAGATGAGTTACTTGACTTGAAGGGACGAGTTTGATTTGTTCCAGCAGCCTGGGAGAAGCCATGGGAGAAGGGAGAAGCAGCCTGGATGGAAGCCATGTTCCCAGCCCGTCCCTGGGCTTCTGCAGGCCAGAACAATGAATGTAAAACCCAGTTATTGCGTCTGAGTTGCTATTTGATCTGTGCTGCTGAGGGCCATCAGCTAGCCGCAATTACAGGCTGCTCACCCTCATTAAAAAAAAAACAATAATAAAAAAATTCCCCATTCCAAAAATCTTGTAGACCTGTGTTTTCCTTTGAAACCTGTTTTGGTGCTTCAAGTTAGCTTGTGCTCGCTGCTTTCCTGAGGTGGAACCCAAATGCTTAAGAACTACAGCAGAGAGGTGATGGGTGCGGGAGCGGTACAGGAGTGATGCAGCAGCGATGGCTTTGGGGGAAGGGGTCTGGCAGCATCACTTTACTCGGGTTGTGAGGCATTCTTCAGGCTTTGGCTCTTTATGCTCTTTTTGCTGGAGGAAGTTTTGGAGACGATTTTCACACCTGGATTGGTGCCTTTTGCGCTCCCAGAGCTGAAATTCCCTCCTGCAGAACTCAGCCCAATTCCGCTGCTGCCTCCTCCAAGCCCAAGCCCGCTGCCACCTCCATACCCACCTCCGAGACCACCCCCACCTCCAAGTCCAAGTCCTCCTCCGCTTCCAAAGCTGTAGCCTCCACCACCTCCTCCAAGACTGTATCCGCTTCCACCACCTCCTCCAAGACTGTATCCGCTTCCACCACCTCCTCCAAGACTGTATCCGCTTCCACCGCCTCCTCCAAGACCAAATCCACTTCCACCGCCACCTCCAAGACCAAATCCACTTCCACCGCCACCTCCACTTAGGCTCAGTCCACCAAATCCTCCTCCTCCACCAGCTGTGCCAGAGCTGGAGCTGATCACTGCTGCAAGGGAAAAACAGACAGAATGTTGGACATCTAATCTGGTGGTCAGCCAGTTCCAGAAAGCACCACCATCAAGGCTTGGACCCATAGGGCCTGAACCCAACTTCTGTCCCCAAGTCACTAAGGGTTCTGGTAGATTCTGAATGTCTTATATGGAGCAGTTGGGTAAAACCTCTCTTTTCCTTTACTCTCAATGGGCCCAAAGAAGACATGCGCTGTGTTACTTACAGTAGCCGATGGGGTTGAGTCCTTCTCCACTCAGCCTGTTGGAGAGCAAATAAAGGGGACATTAGAGCAAAATGCAGATGCAGGCAAGGGGGCCAACACTCTCAGAGTGGAAAAGTGACATTTGCTATTTATTTCTGCAGGGATTCTGCTCCCACCTGCTCTCCTCGCCTTCCAGCAGCTTTCTGTAGGTCGCGATCTCAATGTCCAGGGCCAGCTTGACATTCATCAGCTCCTGGTACTCACGCAGCTGCCGGGCCATATCTGCTTTGGCTTTCTGCAGGGCATCCTCCAGCTCCATCATCTTTGCCTTGGCATCCTTGAGAGCCAGCTCCCCACGCTCCTCAGAGTCTCCGATGGCTGTTTGCAGGGTGGCACACTGCAAGAGGACAACAGAGAATCCTGACTTCTGCTTTTCTGTTTGGGTAAGAGTAAGACAACACAATTCCTGGAGAAGCTGTGGGTGTTCCTTCCCTGGAGGTGCTTAAAACCATGGATGAGTCCCTGGGCCGCTGATGGAGGGAGGAGTGGCACCAGTACATGGCTGGGGGTGGGACAGGGGATTTTGAGGTCCCTTCCAACCCAACCATTCTATGGTTCTGTGATCTTTAAGGTCCCTTCCAACCCAAGACATTCTGTGATTCTATGATTCAGTGAAGGAAGAAAACCGTTCTGGCTGGGGTCTTCATGAACAATGGTTATGGCTGAGGTCAGTCAGCCATATGTGACAGTCCTGCAGTTGCAAAGCCAGCCTGGCTTGATGCATGACACAGCAATACCCTTCCAGGTACATCATGCTCTGTGGCTGCTGATTTCTCTGTTCAGCACATGGTGGCAGAGAGCAGAGCTGTAATGCTTAGGGACACCAGAATAGGGCTCTTTTTCCATTCCTACCTGGTTCCTTGTGTTCTCTATCTCTGCTCGGATCCTCTGGATGAGCCGGTTGAGCTCAGAAATCTCCCCCTTTGTGTTGCGCAAGTCATCCCCATGCTTCCCAGCCGTGGCCTGCAGCTCTTCATACTGGGGTTCAGAAGAGGAAACATTCAGAGATGTCCAGGTGGCTCAGACAACCTCACGCAGGGACAGCAATAATTCTTCCCACAAGTACACCTACAAGCATGCTCACCTTGGTTTGGTACCAAGCCTCTGCCTCAGCCCGGCTGCGGTTGGCAATGTCCTCATACTGTGCTTTGACTTCAGCTATGATGCTGCTGAGGTCCAGGTCCCGGTTGTTGTCCATGGACAGGATGACAGCGGTGTCAGACGTTTGTGTGCTGAGCTGAGCCAGCTCCTGTGGGGAAGCACATGGGAACCCAGCTACACTTACCTTGAAAATGCCATCTGTAGTGGCTGTCACTGCCTGGGAGTGATGACAGAACAGTCAGGGGAGGAGGGTGTCTGTACCGCCTCGTAGAGGGCTCGGAGGAAGTTGAGTTCATCAGTCAGAGCATCCACCTTGGCCTCCAGCTCCACCTTATTCATGTAAGCAGCATCCACATCCTGGAAAAGAACAGCTGTGGGACATCTGCAGTGCCTGTTATCTCTTCTTTGGCTCTACCAAGATTTTGTCGGTCTCAGGGACAGGCTGCTGCAGTGGTAATGCATGACTGGAGAAGCTGTGGTTGGCACAAGCTCCTGGAAGGCCACCATGAGAACATCTCTTGGCCAAGAGAAGTGCTGGGTGTTACCTTGCTAGAGGATAAGGACAGCATGCAGTCCATCTGGCCTTGGGACATGCATTTCCCAGCATTGCTCAGCATCTTTATATCTACATGATCTATTCTGCTCAAGTAAGCATGAATGCATAGTTTGGTGTCAAGAGTTGACTTTCATCCTCCTTCAGCTCCTTTCCTTCCTTTCTCCTAAAACTATAACACCACTTTAAAAGATGAGGATGCATCTCTATGAGATCTCCTATCTGTTACTGCACTTTTTGGGATGGCTCGGCATCCATACAATTCATCTCACCCACCTTCTTCAGCACCACAAATTCATTCTCTGCTGCTGTGCGTCGATTGATTTCCTCTTCATACCTACAGGGATAAAGAGACAGCTGTGCTAGGTCACACCTCGGCAAGCACAGCAGCTGTACAGGTGGGACTGCAAGATGATTTGGGTTGAGAGTGACATTTTACATAAAGCAGCTTGAGATGATTTTCATTTGCAAGTTGCCACGTCCTGGCGGAACCTGCATTTTCTGCTTGGAGAAATGTTGCTGGAGCACTCTTCTGCCATGCCAGGCAGCAAGGGCTTTGAAGGGAGAGGCACGGCATGAGAGCCATGCTTTACAGGGAGGTTCATCCGGTCTCATGTTATGGACTAAAGCACTTTTTTCCCCTTTCTCATAGAAAGTTTGATGAATATCTCAGGCTAGATGTTTGTCCTTGAGAAAACTAGTTCTAAGTGAGACTAATCCTACTGCCTAATGCTAAGCTGAACAATTTGCATCACATTTCACCCCAGGCTGCGGGGATGTGCCACCAAACAGGCACTCACTTGTTCTTGAAATCCTCAACAAGGTCTTGCATGTTCTTCAGCTCCCCGTCCATGCGTCCTCTCTCGCTCAGCAGGTTGGCCAGCTGCCGCTTCAGGTTATTGATGTAAGCCTCAAAGAGTGGGTCCAGGTTGTTCTTGCCTGTGCTGTTTTTCTGACTCTGGTCCTGCAGGAGGGTCCATTTTGTCTCGAGCACCTTGTTCTGCTGCTCCAGGAAGCGAACCTGGGCATTGGGAAGTAAAAGGGGTTAGCAGAAGATAAATGCCGATGGCCAAGAGTCAGTAACTGGGACTGATGCACAGCACAGACACAGTAAATCCCAAACCAGGAGCATTAAGTCCAGTTATCAATATCACCTGGACTATCTAGGGCTATGTTAGCCTATCCAGTAGCTAAGCAAACTTTCCATTGATGGACAGTTCTAATGAGAGACAGTGTAATTCAGCAAGCTGGTGAGCAATCATCACAAAATGTGGGTTCAGCTCCTTCACCACTTGCTTGCTTTAAAATCTTTTTTTCCTTCTTTGTAGGTGATATTTATCTTCCTTCATTAAAGCTAAGATCTGAGCACTACAAGACAAGTCAAAGGCAGTTAAGTTGCCTTGCCTCTTGCTCATTTACACTATATATAAGGTACTTATCCAAGGAAAAGCCAAGAAAGGACTTGAACTTATGCAAAAAGGGCTTTAGCTTGCAGGCAATAAAACTGGACATAAGGACCCACACTTCTGCTATAATACCTCACAGAGACAGCTTGCTTAAGCAACTGGCTTACTAATATTTGAACTAGCATGTTTTATTTTCAAGGAACAAAACCTGAATCTAAGCCTCTAGTTTTCAGTATCTCATTTTCTGCCTTATAGCTGTCGAGAAGTATATCACTTTTTGACATATATTTAGGAAACATGCAAGAGACTGAAGATTCCTGAAGCCGTATTTTTGTAGATACAGCTCTGTCTTTCTCCCTCTTACAGTTCCATAGCACTTGATGACACCTCACCTTGTCAATGAAGGAAGCAAACTTGTTGTTGAGGGTCTTGATCTGCTCCTTCTCCTCCTTGCGCACCTGCTGGATGTTGGGGTCGATCTCCAGGTTGAGGGGTGCCAGCAGGCTCTGGTTGACTGTCACTTCTTGGATGGTGCCCATGCCAGGAGGGCCACCAAAACCCAAGGGAGCCCTGCCACCACCCATCCCTCCAAGTCCCCCCATGCCTCCTGCTCCACCAAAGCCAAGCCCGCCAGGACCTCCACCAAAGCCATAGCCACCACCGCCACCTCCGCCTCCGCCTCCACCAAGACCAAGTCCAAGGCCACCGCCACCTCCGCCACCACCAAGACCAAGTCCAAGGCCACCACCCCCTCCACCACCACCAAGACCAAAGCCACCACCGCTGCCACCTCCCAGGCCAGATCCACCACCTCCAAAAGCACTCCGGAAGCTGCTTCCAACACCGAAGGAAATCCTCTTGGAACCACCGAGGCTGTAGAGGCTCCTGCTGCCAAAACCTCCACCACCTCCGCCACCTCCTCCTCCTCCAAGGAGCCTTCCAAAGCCACCACCACCTCCTCCAGATCGTGACACTGACACCGAGCTAAAGCCAGCCCTGCTGCCCCCAGGAACGATGGCTGAAGCAGCGCTGTATGACCGCCCTCCACCCCCAGCTCTGGTGCTGTACGTCTGCCGGCTCATGGCAGCAGCTGATCACAATAAAGAACAGCAATCTGTGAGTGGGCAGCTCTGTGAGAGGAGCAAGCAGGGGGAGGCCCTTTTTATCCCCCTGAGGATCTGGGCTTGGTTGCATGGAAGTCCAGAGATCAACTCAGAGCCTTCATGGTTTTGACGTGCCAGGCAGCCAGCTGTCTGATTGAAACTTGTTAAACTGATTGCACCCAAAAACACCTCTTGGAGACAGCATGAAGCTGCTCAGCTAGAAGCATTACCTAACTGATTTCTGGCAAGAATCACTCAACCTTACTGCAAAGCATGCTTGCACAGATGCCTTGTTTTATTTCATCCCTACGAAGCAAAAGAAAGGAAACAAAAAAAAAGACGAAGAAGAGAAATATCTACCCAGATACCCCTGCCTTATTTAAGATGCAGTAGATCACCAAAGAGCTTAGTGGAGATTCCTCCAAAGTAGCTCAAGTGAAAGGCACTGAAATTAAAATGAGTAAAGCTGAAGATAAATATTGCATGGGACTTTGCTGCATGAAAGCACAGTGAGGGAGTGATGTTCATGAGGACTGACACCTCCTCAGGGCTCTGACTTCTCCTGTCGTCTTTGTTCACACTCGTCAGGCAGAGACCCAATCTGAGCTGATCCAGACCCAAGCACAGAGAGATCCAATCCATCATTTGCCTTTGAGTTGCTGCATTTCAGTGTCATCTCACATTTTGGTCATTTAATGCCAGGTATTTCATCTGTGGCAAGTTTTCTGCAATGCATTTCTGGCGATACTAGCAAATCCATCAGACAGCTCCATCCACCCAGCGGTGCCCATTGCACTGCTCCCAGCCTACAGGTGATGTTGTTGTGATGCATTTGCACCTCAACCTAAAAACGTGCCAATGAAAGAGGCAAATTTTCTGAAAAAATATTTTGCCCAAATTTGTGGAACTGCGTGATTTGCATGCTTAGCACTAGGAGCAATCGGTCTTGAGTTTCTAGCTCTCTTACAGGCTGCAATTGCTTTGAAAGATCTTTGAACCTTTCAAAATGCTGCCAAAAGCAAAGATTTAACTGGCATGAAAAGAATCCTCCCACAAATTCTGGTTATTTTACTTTCTGAAGTCCTTGGGAAAAAAGAGCAAAGCCGGCGGGGTGTGGTGGCACTTTCTGGCCTCTCAGTTTTTAGGGAACTGTGGTGTTTACAATATTTTATTCTTCAAATTTAAGTTTTCAGCTTGTTGTTCTGGTGGATATCCCATGCTGTGTGCATGACTGGTGCTTAAACATCTGCTTCTGCATTTGCAGGACAGGATTCCACATGCTCTGTGCAATATGCTCATGTGCCCCAGAACTGCAGAGCTGTTAAGCATGAGCTGAGGTCCCACTGGAAGAGAAATTAAGCAGGTGCTTGGTGTTCTGCTGCATACATGAGACCACATCGGCAATTATCCCTGGAGAAATGCTGCCAGTTGGGCTCTGACCAAGGGAGTTGGTTGCTCACACTGAATTTCCCACTGAAATTCTTGGGCTGGAGCACATTGGGCTGCTCACTGGGCTGAAGCAACCTGAGATACTACTGAAATCCACAAACACCCATTGCCTTCATTATTTGCATAAAATTCAAAGCCTCCGTGTGATGGGAAAATTAGATTGTCTTCATACTGGCTTGACCCCAGCGAAGGCTGATTGTCCTGAAGCTGACAAACGGGTTCGGATCAGATATTATAGCTGAATGAATATAATGGCATTAAGGGTGCGGCCGCCAGAAGAAAGAGGGAATTGTCAGCTGGGGCTCCCACACTCTTCTCCCTTCAGCCCACTGTCTGTAAGGCATGCGAGCAATGCGAGGGCTGGAAGAAAGGCCCCATTTCTTGTTGGTCGTGGGCTCCACACCCAGATGTGGCTTTTCACATCTGTCCTTTCAGATCAGCTCCCACAAAGGTTCACATCCTTTGCAGGAGTGACATCCTGCAAGATTTAGCCCCAAAATAGCCCCCAAAATCCTACACCTGGACTCCTGACCTTTTCTTCTCCTTCAGGAAAGCAGCCATGGGTTTTGCAATAGATAGAGTTGAGAAGGGCAGAGTTGATGAAAGGTTTTTACCCAGAAATGTGAGAGATGCCAGGCTGCTTTGGTACCATGGGGAGCAACTGGTTGGTGGTGCAGTTTTTCTTTGCAGGGAAGTGATCGACATAAACTATGAGCTGCTGGGGGCACCAGCACCTTGTTTGGATGTTTTACATACGAACAAGATGGAGTCCAAGTTGTGAACACTGAATCAGAACAGCCATAGATAACCATTTGGGAAGATACTGTCTTTAGCTGGGTGGGTTTTGTCTTTTCTGCAAGGGATAATTATTTTGGATTCCACCACTCCACAGCCCAGATTTCTGCTAAGCCATGCAGTTCACTAAAAATTAGTCAGCCATCAGCTCCAAGGTGAACACATCCCATAGAACCTCCCTGCTTTCCAGCAGAAAATCCCTGCAAGACACAGCAAGCGCAAATGCAACATGAGGGCAGCAGAGGTGGTTACCCCTGGTGGAAACTATGGGCAGACCAAGCCTGGATGGTTTTGCTTCCCCATCTGTGGAGCGAGATGCAGGAAAGATGGGGCAGACAAGCCGTGAGTCAGCAGTGAAGCCAAGGAAGTGGATCAGGAAATAAATTGCAACACTCACTCCTCTTCAGTTTGCAATATAAAGGTAAATTAACCTGCCTGCACCCTGATCTGCTTCCAAATGGATTTCTCCAAAGGGGAACTCAAAGCAGAGATGTCCTGGGGGGGTTTGGTGGAACCCAGGAGAGTGGGGGGAAGGAGGGGGCCATGGTGATGGCTGATCTGTCCTCATCCAGGTATGCATCCAGCTGTGCCAAGCACCCACACAGCAAACTATACCAGCTGTCCTGTGAGATTTTCCAGGAGGCACCATGCATTTGAGAATGGGGAGATGGGAAGAAGCGATGTTCCCTCCACACCTCTGGGAGATGGGAAGGAACAAAGCCCCTCTGTGCACCCATGGGAGATAGGAAGAAGCAATGCTCCTCTATTAACTGATGGGAAGATGGGAAGGAACAGTGCAATCCCTCTGCACCCGTGGGGATGGCAGTTTTCCCCACATCCAGCTGTCCATCCAGCTGTGATGTGGGGACCTTCCAGGGGTACGGTGCCTTGGGAACAGGAGCCCAGCACAGAGCAAAGGGTTGGGGAGCCTGAAATCACCCAATCTCAACTGCCTAAAAGGGCACTGAGGGCTCATCCTTCCCTGTGCATCCTGCAGACCCTGGTGCAGGCTGTGCTTTAAAGGCGTGGTGCTTGAGGACACCACTGGTGCTGTGTTTTGCAAAGACAGACATCTGTTTCATTTAGAAATCAACCTGCTCTTGTGAGAGGGTTTCAGGGGTGGGGTGTGGGATTTTTTTTTTTTTTTTTTGCGCCAATTGTTTTAAACAAGGTTCTGCCTGCCTTGTGTTCTGCCTGCAGCGTGTGAGATCCCAATGTCCCGAGTGAAGCTGTGCATTTGCTCACCTCTGGTGGAACAGGGCTATGCAAAAATGCGTGGGGAAGGAGAGCAGGCAGCGTCTAAGGACTTAGTTAACACTTTGCAAACTACAAACTCCACCCATTTGGAGGTTCATGTCTGAGAAGACATCACTGCTTTGGTAATGCTGGGAGGGAAATGAAACCTGTGGAGTGCGGCTTGAATAATGCATGTAGTTTATTGAAGGTACAGCTGAAAGTCTGGAGTAAGCGAAGGGTAATCAACTGTTCACTTACACATTAAAAGCGTTAAATCCGTCTATCTGGTACACACACAGGAAAAACAATGCATGCATTTAACTACAGAAATATAAGGTGCTCGTCGGCGTGTAATTAAAATCTGCTCTACCAAACCTGGTGTAGCAACTTGGGCCCATTTACATAACCATTACCAACCCTCTCGTAAACAGGAAAAATTGGATTTTCAGGTGTCATTAAAGGAGCCAAATAATAGATGCGGCTTCATCTGGGGCAGTGTAAGATGTGGCTGCTCTTTCTGATGAGCAAATTTTTTGTTCTTTTGCAATTGCTGTGTGAGGGGACAGGAAATCCCTTGGAAAAGGGGCTGAGCAGAAAGAGCCACGAAGGCAGCAGACTGAAATGCAAATCTCGCCTGCCTGAGACCTGGGGGTCCGCTGACCCCCAGAGCACCATGTGAGAGAAGGTGGGTGGTGACCATTCAAAAAAACCACCATGTTTCTGGCAGAACTACCGACCTTACTGCGTGTGCAATGCATGCTTGTGTGATTCAGCTGTGAGAAGGAAGGGGAATACTGTTTTACTGCAGAAATGCTGATTCTTTCTCAATACAATGCGGTTCTGCCCACCTACCGGCTCGTTCTGACCACGCGCACGGCCGTGCTGTACCGGCTGCCCCCTCCACACACCCCCGCCCCTGGGATGATGACAGCCCCAGGGCTGCACTGCTCCACTCCAGCACACACCAGGTTGCCCACACCGGCTGCACACTGCAGCCCATCGGCACCGGGCAGCACCTCGCGCCCCACACAGCTGGCTGCACTCCGGGCCCCAAAGCCACCCCCCACTCTGGGGACGCAGTCCACGCTGCGAGCACTGAACCCAGCACCGCTGACCCCAAAGGATGAGACCACCCCACCCAGCCCCGAGCTGGCTCCGGTCTTCACAGAGCATTTGCCGCCGATTCCGGATAGGGATCGGCACTCACCGACCGTGCCGCCGCCGCTGACCACGGCTGCAGGAAAAGAAGGGTCTGGTCACTGCTGAGCAGCACACAGGTAGGTTGTGTGAAGTGTAAAAGGGAATGAAAGGGGTTACGGGCTTACAAAGGGAGGTGCTTGGTCGGCTTACCTACGCTCACAGGGTTGCCAGTGCATATCCTGTAAAAAACAAAGCAACGTCTCAGAGATGTGCTTAAGGGGATGCTCCCCAGACATGCATGCACATGGAGATGCTGCCCAGTCTTAGAAATCCTGGGGGTACTTCAGCTTGTCTGCGTT